TGCCTGATATTTCTAAGTAAAACCCTCAGGGATACCTGCCCGAGGGACTTCCATGCAAAGAAAAAAAAAGTTATAGGGCCGGGGATTTAGTGGTTTCGCCGCCTGCTGCACAAGCACAAGCACAAGGACTCGAGTTCGATCCCCAGTACCAAAAAATAGAAAAAAGAAAAAAAAATGTTATGAAGTCATAAAAACTCAAGTTTCTTTCAAATGATTAGGTGCTCCATTGGTAGGCAGAGCTACCTTAAAATTTAAACACCTTAAAAACTTAATATCCATTACGGTACCTGTAAGCGTTGCAAAGGCTGCCAACTGGACTTAGCATCTCTAGTGCTCATAATGACTTTCTACTGAGATGTAAGATTTGAGCATGTTCATGGGGGTTTAGTATGGAAAGTTGATATAATGGGCAGTAATCAAATTGGGCCATTAAGCATTGTGATCTCTTCAAATCGTTTTTATGTTGGGAATTTTGTGCTCTTCTAATCACTTTTTTGGGGGGGGTACTGAGGATTGAACTTGGGAACTTGCACTTGTGAGGCAGGCAGCAGAACCACTGAGCTGAATCCCTGGCCCTCTTCTAGTCATTTTGAAACCCACACAGTATGATCAAACTACAGCCAATGTGTAAATGTAAAACAGTGGACACATTGGCATTAATTTCCATCAAAATACCTCCCCTTACTTTGAACACAGACCCCATTGCTCTTGCCACTTTCTGAAACAGTTCTGGATGTTTTGTGCCTTTAGCGGCTTCGTGGCTGCCTCGATGTCCTAAATCAGTTCTAACAATTACCTTTCATGGATATTTTGAATTTGAGGAAGAGCCAGAAGTTGCCAAGCACCGGAAATGTGTGGATGAGGACGCTCTACTGTTTTTATGAGCTTGCCTGCTGCTGGATGACACATGGCCATAGAATTCAGTTTTGTTTTGTTTTTTAAATCACTTTGTAAAGACAAAACTTCCAGAACTGCTTTGGAAAGTGGCAAGGATGATGGGATTCTTGTGTTCAGAGTAAGCGGGGGGAGTATTTTAAAGGCTACTGATGGCAATAAATGTCTTTTATTGCAACAAAATGTTTAAAAATTTACTGTATATTTTGATGACTCCTTGCACTGTAGATCACTTATTACCCTACTGTGCTAAGGAACCATAAGTCATTACTCTTCTGGTGCTCCTCCTCAACTTCTCTCCACCCTCCTCCCCCGCCTATTGCCTCTCCTAATCTCTGGTGATTACTATCCCATTCTGTCCTGGGAGATTGCCTTTTAAGTGAGAACATGTATTTGTCTATGTCTGGCTTACTTCACTCACTGCAGTTCCATGCACTTACTTTAAATGGCAGGCGTTCTTTTTCCCTATGGCTGGATACTACTCCACTGAGCATATATACCACATTTTCTTTACGCATTCAGCCCCTGGTGGCCATCTGGGTTGCCTCCATATTTTAGCTATTGTGAATGGTGCTGCAACCTGTCTTTTTTGGCATGACTTCATCTCCCTTGGATACAGACCTAGTAATGGAATTGCTAGATCATACGGTAAACTGTTTTGTTTTCTGAGCAACTTCCTCACTCTTTTCTGTAGTGGCTGTACTAATTACATTCATACTAACAGCGTGTAAGAGTTCTTTCTTACCAGCATTTGTTATTTTTTATCTTTGTGATGACAGCCATCCTAGCTGGGGTAGAATGTATTGTGGTTTTGGTTTGTGGTTCCCTGAGGGTTAGTCAGATGGGGCATTTTTTCACATACTGTGGGTCACTGTATGTCTTCTTTGGAGAAGTGTCAACACAGATCTTTAGCTCATTTTTAAATTAGATTATTTGTTCCTTTGTTGTTCAGCTTCTTGAGTTCCTTATATATTCTGTATATTAATCATCTGTTCAATAGTTTGCAAATGCTTTCCCCATTTGGTAGGTTGTTTTATCACCTAGTCCAAGTTTTTTTTTCTTTCTGGTGTGGGGGTTGAACTCAGGACCTTGCACTTGCAAGGCAGGTGCGATGCCACTAAGCCAAATCCCCAGCCCTGTAGGTTGTTTCTTGTTACTTTTTTGTTACTTCTGTTGCCTGTAGAAGATTCTTAGCTTGATATCATCCCATTTGTCTATTTTTGCTTTTGTTGCCTGTGCCTTTGGAGTCCTAAAAGATCATTGCTTTCACCAATGCCCTGTTTCCGGTTCTCCAGCAATTTCTTAAGTTTCAGGGTGGTGAAATCTTTAGGCCATTTTGAGTTGCATTCTTTGTACAGTGAGGAAGGGATCTAGTTTGTCCATTTGTCAGCATTATTTATTGAAGAGCCTGTCCTTTCTTCATTTTATGTTCTTGGTGCCTTTCTCAAAAATGAGCTGGCCATATATACATAAGCTCTCTATTGGTCTACATGTAAGTTTTTTTTTTAATGTCAGTACCACACTGTGTTGTTACTATGGCTTTGGAGTATGTTTTGAAGCCACTATTGGGATTTTTGAAAAAAATTTTTTGGCTTAGGATTGTTCTTCTTTGTGGTCCTGTAAGGACATTATGACTGTTTTTTTCTATTTTAGGGGAGAAAATCATTGCTATTTTGATGGGACAGTTACAACTTATAAAGGGTAAAATAATGGAATTATAATCGTTATTCAAAAATTCTCATCATAGATAAGTTACTGGCAAATTAAAAATTCTTCTGGTAAGTAAAATATACAACTGTGGGTAAAACCATGTGCTAGGTTGTGAATACAGCAGAGAGCAAGGAGGACATAGCTACTTTCCTCAGAGATGACTATAAACCAGGAGGTGTGTGGGGATTTCTTGGGTTTTGAAAAGTTTATATATACACATCAACAAAGTGAATTCTAAAATATATTTAATTTTTGTAATACAATAGGTTTTTCTTTCTGCATTGAAGTTGATACAGATTTAACTTCCCAAGTCCTAACATGATGACTTAGACCAGTGGGGGCAAACCTATGGTACATGTGCTCTAGCAGGTTGTTCGGTATTATTGAAAGCGCTAAAAGATTCGCCATCGTTGACTTTGCTGTAGGTCTTTTGATATACTGGTACTAAGTCGAGTTCACTGGTGACTATTAATTGAGTGAATGAAATGCTAAGTTATAAAAACATAGTAGTTAATTTTCAAATAGTGGCCTCAGTTTCTATAGTAAACCAAATGATACAGTTCTTACAAGTCTGAAAAATAGGTAACAGCTTTATAAAGTTTTTCTCACTTCTGTAACAAAGCAGGACGTAAATGTTATTTAAAAAACTAAAGAAAACTGAATTTGAAACCTGAAAGGTAAAGTCTAAACTTACTCAAAATCAGTGGAAAATGGGACACTTTCCCTACATTGTAATTTTGTTTTTTGGTACGGGGATCCAACTCTGGACCTTGCCCTTGTGAGGCAGGTGGTGGCACCACTGAGTTAAATCCCCAGCCCCATTGTAATTTTCTTGAAAACTCAAAGGGAAGATGTTTTATACATTTTTCCTGAATACATTAAAGCCACCAGACTGTTTCATTACTAAGTTTCACTCAGCAGTGGCTTCTGATATGTGTGTGTGTATGTACTGATTTTTTGCCTTAACCTGAAACATACTTAAACCCATCGGTGGGGCTTTTTGCTAGTTAACTGGCTTCAGATCCACATTTGTGTTTTACCATTTGATGATGGAGTTACTAAGAATTTGAATTTTCTAAGTTTTTAAGTTTCTAATTTCATTTGTTCCAAAAACCAGTCTTTTGGTAATAGGGACTGAACCCAGGGCTTTGCACATTAGGTACATCCCTGGCCTTTTGGAAAATTTTGTTTTGAAGCAGGGTCTGACTTGCCAAGGCCAGCCTCAAAGTTGTGATCCTCCTGCCTGAGCCTCACATGGTTGTGCCACCATGCCTGGCTGTCCACTGGTTTTTAAACCTCCTCAAAGACTTCAGAATAGCAGTTGTTTAATGAGTTCTGGATTAGTGGCTAATTGATCAATTTTTTGTGGAGGATAAAAAGGGCCTTTTTTTGTGGGTTATTTTCAGGACTGTGGGCCCCTAGGTAATGCGTGCAAATGACTAATTCAATCAAATGGTTGAGATACAGCATCCATAGAGTCTGTTCTGACACAGGCTAGTTTAGCATTAGCCTTTGGTCGTAATTCTTGTTATCTCACAAAAATACCCTGCTATCCACAAAGGGTCTGAATGACAAGAGAAACTAAATGCAGTACAGTATTAAGTGGAAACATGACTCAAGCCAGTGAACCAGGAACACAGGAACATTTTTATGCTTAGGCTTTGTGGTTTGGCCTAAAATTCTAATGTTCACTAGAAGAATTTGGGTGTATTTAAAAATTTTCAGTAAATGTATAAAGTAGAATATTAACAAAGATTTAATCTTCAGGATGTTTTATTATATAGATGTCATTTAAGAAAATTAAGATCCACCTCATTTAACTTTTTTTTTGTTTTTTGTCTTTTGCTTTTTTTGGTATCGGGGATCAAACTCAGGACCTTGCGCTTGCGAGGCAGGCGGTGGAACCACTGAGCTAAATCCCCGGCCCTAACTTTTGTGTTTAAGACATTTGCCTGGTTTTGTTGGCAGATTTAAAAGATGAAATGTTACACAAAAATCCTGTCAAAATCTTGACTTAAAAATGCTGTTCTCATGTAAACATTTTATTAAACTAAGTGCTTTATAAATAAACTGTCCCAAAGGAAACAATGTAGCATTTAAAACAAGCTTTGCAGCTGATTCTACAGGCACATAAAGCAAGTTAACATGATTTACTGCCTAAAATACTTAGTCAGTACAGGAGGTGAGGTGTAGGTAGTGATACCCAAGTGCAGTGACATGACTGTGAGCCAGACTCGGGGCACAGGAACGGGCCTCAGGCTGCTTCTGCACACCCTCTGTGCCCAGAGTGGTGGGACACACGAAACTGCTGTGTGATTCAGCACACATCTCCGGAGACCTCTGTAGGCATTCCATTTTTGGATTTCTGCAGTACTCAAGCACTTTTTAAGAACTTGTAGGATTTAAAAAATAAATTTAATAAATGAACGGCTTTCGTCATCATCGATCATGTTTCAAAAAGCTGATGTTGAAAGGGGTGTGTTCCACAGGTTCCCACCACATGTATGAACGCAAGACACAGAGTTGTACAAATAAAGAAATAATGGGAGGCCGGGGATTTAGCTCAGTGGTGCCACCACCTGGCTTACAGCCGCAAGGGCCTGAGTTCGATCCCCAGTAGAAAAAAAGAATTGGAGACTATTCACACAGTGGGAGGTGAGAATGAATGAAGACTATTATGTTCTGTACACATTTCAGATATAAAATAACCTTCATAAGGAAATACTGGGGAGCAAGCTGTAGTGATAAAAACAAAACTCTTCTAAACTCAATACACCGTAAACCTAATAGGTTTTTGGAAAAATGCAGTGTTTTTATTAATCTCTTGGTAAATTGAAATTTTTAGCATTCCATACACTCTGAATTGTAACTAAACAACTAGAGGTTTCTCGCAGTTTTGTTGAAATGCAAAAAAAAATTCTGTGATGTTTTGAATCAGAACCCAGGAACTAAAAGATCCCATTTTAGATTTATACACTTGATTTTCTTATAAAAATAAGTTCAGTTATGCCAACATTTAGCTGGTAAAGGCAGCCTCTGACATTGTTACAGCAACAACCAGAGTATCATTATGAGCTACAGTAAAATCTATAAAACTTTTCCCTATTTGAATGAGTAGATTGGAGTGGAAAAACCACAGCTATGGAAAAATAAATGTAAATAAATAGAGGCCTCAAAAAAATGAACTGTCAGTGGAAAAATTTTTATGAAAGCAATTTCAGAAAATAAATGCACACATTTAAAAAATACAGAACTCTAACTGCTATGTTCGAGTAGCTTAGAGGTCCATTTACTCACTGTGAGTTCTTCCCCTTCTGGCTTTTCTGGGTGATAAGGCAGTCTGTAAGATTTTTATACTTACTGTTGCAAATTTCTCAATTGTAAAAAATAAAAAATTTCTTCAACTTTTAAAGCAAAATGGAGAATTTCTTCAGTATAAAACAGTATGAAAGCATGTTATATCTATTTTACCATATTTCCATGTTTTTATTTTGGTACAGGGGATTGAACTCGGGACCTTGCGCTTGCAAGGCAGGCGGCAGAACCACTGAGCTAAATCCCCGGCCCCTATATTTGCTTGTTTTTTTTTTGGTACCGGGGATCGAACTTGGGTCCTTGCACTTGCAAGGCTGGCAGCAGAACCACTGAGCTAAATCCCTGGCCTATTTGCGTGTTTTTGATAACCAAGTTCCACCTTTTTACTGAGAAATACTCCACTGTGCAGTGAACAGGCTCACGGCAGAGCCAGACAGCAAAATGTTTCTAGGGGCAGCAATTGAGGCCCATGGAATGAGCCTGGCCTGTGATGTTTTTGTATGGCCCTGAGCTAAGAATGGGTTTTTGTTTTTTAAAAGAATCATTAAAACCAACAACCACAACAAAGATGTGACAAAGAAACAAAGTCCATAAAACTTAAAACATCTGTGATCTGTCCTTCTCCAGAAAGTCTGCAGATCTTTCCTTTACATCAATGTTGTACAGACTTCAGGCAGTGCAATTCTTAGCAGTCCAAGACTACGTTCATTAACTTCCACCACAAATGCAGTCAAGTATTCTTAAAAGGCGTCCTTTTCTGATGGTATTTTTCAGAATTCTTTCTTTTCAATTTTTCTTCATCATCAACATCATCAAAGTTCATCCTGTATTAGTAATATAAAAGTATTAAAATATGTTTGGCCTGATAATGTTTAAAGCATGGTACAATATAAACCAACATTTTACTTTTTAAAAAATAACTCAATACTCTTATTTAATGGATCATCACACAAAACACACCTTGCCTAACAATAAAAAATAAAGGAAAATCTTTTAGTCTGTTCCTGCCCAAAAACTATAGTTTCATAGTCACGATTCTGACTGAAAACCAAATTGGATGAGAACTGAGTCAAATTTCCCCATAGAAACATTATAGTACCTAACCAATGAATTTGATTCGGTTCTCATCCAATTCAGTTTGTGACTAGAAACATGGAAAGAATTAAGTTTTGTGAACTGAGGTTGTTGCATATACTTTCTAAGTCATATCTAGTATGTTCCTTAACTTGATTTCAGGTAATGATATTCTGGGTTTAGAACTATGGTTTATTCCAAATACTTGAGATAAGTTATTTTAAAATTTGTGACTACTGAGAAAATACTGCCAAGCAGAAAAAACAGGTCTGCTAAGTAGACTAGGAAAATACAGTTCCGTAACTCTATCTTCCCTATTTTTTAGATATGAATAAAATGTTTGGGAAGCAAGCTGTACAGCTTCCTCTCCTGGGGTCTTAGTTCTGAACTGGGTAACACAGAGTTTGGGTTCTAATATTCTATAAAACCACATTTCTCTAACCCTCTCTGAGGCTGTGCTGTTTTGTTCTTTTGCCTTATACGGTGAGAATCCCAGATACTTCATATGTGATTGTATTAAATTCCATTTAAAAAGCTCCCAACACTCATAGACTTGTTGATGTCAATGTGTCCTAGAATGACTGATTTAAAAGAGGAAAAAAAATGAATGGCTTCTGAGGAATAACAAGAATTAAACTGATTAAAAATCCAAGGAGAGAAGATGAGTATGAGTTTCAAAATACATTCTACTATATTGAGAAAAAAGGAATATTTGCTACCTAAAATGTATTAAGGCTTTAGTGTATTTGTTCCTAACAACTTAATGCTATCTTTATATTTGAACAAAATTTAATGGTCATAAATGATTATTTTTTTCTACAACTTACATTTTACATATCATACAATTCCTGCAAAGGAACTCAGCAGTTTTTAATATATTCAGAGTTGTACAACTATCATAAAAATCTAATTTTAGAACATTTTACACACTTCAAACTTTTTACACATTAGCAGTCACCCAATTTCTCTTTTCTACCTCACTCTAAGAACCACTAGCTTACTCACTGTGTGTAACAATTAGTCTATTCTGAATGCTTCACATGAATAGAACCGGGAAAAATGTGGCCTTCTCTGACTGGTTTCACTCCTGAGGCCTGTATCATGGCCTTCGTGTGGTAGCATGGCCAGCACTTTGCGCCTCTTCAGGGCTGAAGAACATGCCACAGCACAGTACAGAGACCACACTTTGTTCAGGAGTCGATGAACGTCTGCATTTACATTTTTTGGTATGAATGATGCTGCTATGAACATCTCTATAGATATTTTTGTATAAAACTTAGTTATTTTTTGTAAAATGGTTTTACTTGTACACATCTGTAAGCATTTTACTGTTTAGGAAATAAAGACAATCAAAATACAGCTTCTAAAGTAGAAAATTCTCTTACTAACATGTAATGCGTAGTGAAACACATTTCCATAACTTTTGCCGAAGTCAGTTTAAGTTTTGTTCTCACCTTGTTTCTCTTTTCTTGATTTTGGAGAGTTTCCAATTTTCCATAAATGAAGGCAGCAATTATTTTTGCATCTCTAGCACTTATATGCTCTTCCCAAATACTTTTCTAAAATTAAAAATACTCCTGTCATGTTTTGATTAAATATTAAATGATAAAATTTCCATCTAACAACTTGACTAATATGCTTTAAAGTTCTTTTGTTCCAAAACTTTTAAGTGTTTGAAATTCAAATTTCTTTGAGGAAATAAAGCTGGAAAAGCAGTTAAGCCATACCTGGAGTAAACGTGCTATGGGAATGTAAAATAATTCCTGGAAAAAAATATGCCACTGACTTCAAAAGCCTCAAACATATCTGAAAGTATAAGAAAAGATGTCCTCACAGGCCTGAAATCGTTCTGATCGAATCAGTACACTGGCAAAACCTTGGCCAACTCCAGTAATGGGAAGCATGGGGGCTCCCCCGTTCTCAGTGGTGGAGATGCAGGGGGAGGCCCACGGCACCACCCCTACTTGTTCTGGCTCTGCAGCCGCCAGCTTCCTTATTCCTGGTGTGAGCCCCACACCCCAAATTGCATGTGCTACAGCTGCTTTTTAAAAATGTGTGTAACAGCCTGCTTGGTTTGTACTTCCATCTCCTGCAGCCCTTACTGCCTTTGGTCTGTCTGGCCTGGACTCCTGGGTCACCTGCGCCTCCATGGACAGGGACATCTGGTCCCTAACTTGTCCTCTGTTCTGTGTCCTGCACCCATAGGAACACTCTCTTTTCAAACAGTTCCCTCTGTGGCCCGGTTAATTCTGTGCTCATTACACTGATACTTGCCTAGCACCAATTTGCCTGAGTAAGACCCAGTATCACCTGTTTCTCAGTTGATTTGGAAACTGGAAGCAGAGCTATTGAGCTGAAGGAACGAGGACTCAGGCCCTTTGCTGCTGCTGTGTTGTATGTACCTGAGGCTGTTCGTAAGACAGAAACAACTCCTTCAGTTAAAACCTTCACTGAGAAACCTACCTCTGGGACTCGATTTCTGAAATTTTTTTTAAGACAAGGTCTCGTTATGTAGTTCAGGGTGGTCTTGAACTCCTGGTGTTCCTCCTGCCTCAGGCTCCAGAGTGCTGGGATTACAGCTGTGTGCCCCCTAATTTCTTTAACTATTTCAAAATGTATTAGAATTGTCAAGAAATAATCAGAGCTTAACCTGATATTCTTCCTCAAAAAGTATAAAACATTAGAAATTATTTACTTTGAATGTTTTACCAGGAAGCCTGAGTATGTGGGCGGTAAAAACTTTAGATTATTTCTGTTCTTTTTTCCCCCAAAGCACGCAAGCTCATGACTTTGAAACTCACCCAGTGGAATACAGCATTGTGAACAGAAATACTGAAGGCAAGCATTATTCTAGGCAGCAGTACACACTTTAGAATGCTCTCGGTGACCTCAATAGTCACAATAACCTCCTGAGACGTGACTTTTGTGGCTTCTACTCCCTTTCACTAAATTGTCCTTCCCAGTCTACTTTTGGATAGAAAATGATTTCACTTTTGGCTGCCCTCTAAGTGATACTGAAGAGTGTATTATTTTCTCACTGTTGTTGGGATCCTAGCCAGAGAGAATATGCTTTATATTTTACCACACTGCAATTTCCTCAGTCCATTTATTTGTTGGGTTTTACTTATAATTTAAAAATATCATGGTCAGTTGTCCTTTGCTTATTCTTCACTTGCTGCAGTACAGGGGACTGAAGCTTGTGCTCATCATGCAAGTGCTCTACCACTGACCAACACCTAAGCCCCTTCATTTATAGTCTTACAAACTAGGGTAAGAGATTTAGTCTTCAATTCTGTCAGAAAAATAGCAAAATTCTGGTTGAAATAACACAGGTCTGTCAGAAAGTCTTTTTTTTTTTTTTACTTGGGAAGTCAGCAACCATCATGAGTTAACAATTATATGCGTGATAAGACATATTCTATGTTCCATGTCCAGAGAAAGAGGCTGTCCCCTGGGTTTTGTTCAAGACTCCTTGGTGCAGGGCTGTATTACCTACTGGAGAATAAAAGCATATTGCTAGTAGTGTTTTTTTTTGGTACTGGAGAGCAAACTTGGGTCCTTGCACTTGCACAGTAGGCGGCGAAACCACTGAGCTAAATCCTGGGCCCTAGATCTATCTCCCTGTTTTTTCTTTTTTTGGTATGGGGGACCGAGCTCGGGACCTTGTGCTTGTGAGGCAGGCGTGGAGCCAGTGAGCTAACTCCCCAGCCCAAGCGTATTGCTAGTAGTGCCCAAAAGTAACAGTAATTGGAAATCTTTTTTTTTTGGTACCGGGATCAAACTCGGGTCCTTGTGCTTGCACAGCAGGTGGTGAAACCACTGAGCTAAATCCCCAGCCCATATTAGTAATTGAACCAAGGGACTCTAAGGCTAAAAGTATTAACTTTTTTCTCTTCATGGAAAGAATTTAAAAAGCAATACTTATTCTACAGAAAGTAAAAAATGTAGAGCTTCATAGAAAATAATCACCTTGAATCAATCACTTAATACTGTTAGGTTTCTTTATACTGATGAGTAAAAACACCTTAAGGCAACTGAGGAGCCCATCCCTAAGAACACCAGTGCATCATGTGAATCAAAAGCTTCTTTCAGCAATGTACAGCAATACTTTCCTCCTAGTTCCTTCTCCCTCTGTCATTTCTCCTGCTGAGCCTGGCCGACAAGGGTTCAGGTCCCAGGGGAAAGCCTGCACTTACCTTTGTCCTGTCATAGGCATAAAGTCTCACAGTCGGGTAGGCCTGGACCCCAGCTTCCTGGCACACGTGCGAATGAGCCTGGCAGTCTACCTTCCCAGCTTTCACTTTTCCTTTAACCATCTGTGGAAAAAACCACATTTTGCCATTTTCTGACAAACTATTTTGACTATCAAGCACTATGATATATTTAAAATTTTTTTTTTTTTTTTTTGGTACTGGGGATCGAACTCGGGTCCTTAGCTTGCGAGGCAGGCGGAGGAGCCACTGAGCTAAATCCCCAGCCCTATTTAAAATCTTTATACATTTTGGGCTTGATCCTTCCAATTCAATCAATATTGTTTCCGAAGTTTTTCCTGCCTCTTTAAGCCTCCCACTCTTGCCTCCTCTCTTCCTCCTCCCCAAGAACGCCAGACAATGATTACCGCAACGTCTCCCTGCTAAGCTAAGCACACCTTGCCCGTCACACCAGGGAAGGCGTTTCCGACTCTAAGCCTTTTCCTCACAGTGCTCCTGTGCCGAGGTGGGATTCTTCACGCGGCGGAGGGTGGGTCACTCCATCTGCACTCTGCAGTCCTTCCTGGCAGGCCCTGCTGTCAGTGTACACACAGATCACGAAAGATCTTCTTCCTGCACCTTGATGACTCCTCTGCGACCAGCATGTGCCGCATGCATCTGCCTGCCTGCTCTGCAGTGGCTCATTTCACCACTTCATCACGTACTTACCTGGCATTTTAGTCTGGCTTGTGTTCTTACTGCTGCCTTTAATGAAATGGCTGTAAGTTCACAGTCACTTGTACTTGACCGAGATGAATGGACACTTTTTGTTCTTAATGAGCCCTTGATACTTGGACCACTCCTTTGTCTTCTATTTTCTTTCTTGGCATCTGTCATTACTCTTGTTGTTCTTTCTTTCTCCAACATGGGGACTTCCTTTGTGGTGGTCAGGGTGGAGTCAACTTGACTCTTTGGGATCCGTCCAAGGGACTGGTGGAGGACACTTCTGGGTGGGTCATGGAGGTGTGGCTGTAGGCTCCATGTCTGGTCCCTTTCCCTTCCTCTCTGGCACTGCTTCCCTGTTTTATGTCCTGGCCACCAGGAGCTTAGCATCTTTGGTCTGCCAGTCCCTTCTGACATGATGCCTTGGAGCCAGCTTCCCATGGACTGAAATCTCCAAATTGTGAGTCAAATTAAATCCTCTCCTCCTCTAAGTTGTGGGTGTCAGGTGCTGTCAGTGACAAGAAAGCTAACTAACCCATCCTTCACTATCCTCAAGCTACACTACCCAGAGTTCCACCTATGGATAACAATCTTTTCACAGTGAATAGTCTTGAACCTCGATTCCTAATCTTGATTTCATATTCTACTAAGTACTGGCCTACTTTATGTGAATGCTTCAAGCATCTCAAACACATTACTTCTAACATTAATCCTTCCCCCTTAACTCACTCTTCTTCCTGCCCTATCTATATGCACTCAGTTTAAGCCAAGAGCTAGAATTATCCTAGACTGTTCCCTCAGTCACAATCAAACACGAATCATTTCTTTCTTTTGCATCTGTCCCCTCCCTCATCTGTCACAAATAGGAAATCCTATTTTTTCTTATATAACTACTGCCCTAATCCTGGTGCACATTACCTCTTACTTCAGGACAATTAGAATAACTCCGCTACCTCTAGTTTGATTGCCAAGCCTACTGGGATATGCAAATAGGCAGACTTGACTGGGGTTAGGGCACTGCAGACTGGGAGTAAGGGTGCACATGGACTGACACACACTTTCTGACAGAAAAACCTAGAAATGTGACTTTTAGTACATTTCTATGTCATTTACAAAATGTTTATATACCAATTTACTTGTCTATTCAATTTCTCCTGGTCTTGTAATTGTTTTTGGTGCCCTAAACAGCTTGTTCTGCCCTTGTTCAGGCCAATAATGTGATCTAAAATGTAAAATGGGTCCTGCTATACTCAGTAGTTCTTCTGATGCTTATGAAGAATATATTCTGAGGGCCGGGGATTTAGCTCAGTGGTGCCACTGCCTGCCCCACAAGTGCAAGGACCTGAGTTCCATCTCTAGCCAGCCCTTTCAAGAGTCAAACTCCTGCTCATGTTGTAATTCTTGTCTCAAACACTAATTTTTCTGTGGAGCCCTTTGTCTCTTCTTAGTGTCATCACTCTTGACCATTTTGCTCAAGTCTGGCTATATTCTAATTTCATTACAACCATATCCTATTGTATCGTGTATATTATTATTATTTTTTTTTTAGTACCGGGGATCTAACCCCGGGACCTTGTGCTTGCGAGGCAGGTGCTGGAACCACTGAGCTAAATCCCCAGCCCTGTATCATGTACATTTACTTGCCTTTTATCTTTAGTTTAAAACTGTCAGGTTTTGAAGATTTTAGTCTTTTCATCTTTGTAGCCCTAGTACACAGCAGAATGCCTTTGCTTGATGCTTAGGATTTGGTGAATGAATGACCGTTCTCATGTTTAAATTTTCTGCTATAATTAAAATGCACTTGCATCACTATGTTAGCTTTTAGTACAGGAGAGATGAAGGTATAAAATAATGTTGAGTTATTTGACAGGAAAGAAGCAGTGAAAAGTTTAGGAATACATAATCTCTTATCTGAGCAACTATTCAGTAACTAAAATCTTTTACTGCTTGTAGGAGCTTCTTAAAAAGTCCCCCCTGCTAAAAAATATTCCTATGGTTTGGGATGCTAAGCTGTTCTGGCCTGTGGAACTGGCGCTGACTTTTTCTCTCTAATCAGTGTTGTGTCTATCAACGACAGGGGCTCTGTGAGTTAGCTAAACAGGAAGCTATCATTCTGGACTGCATCATCAATGGGCCTCCTGTTATTATAGATAGGTAAGTTAATTAGATATCTTGTTGGCAGGTAGACAGGGCCTCCTTTAAGGTGCCAGCCCTAGAGGAGCCAACACAGCAAGGAACCAACATGGAGAACAACTGAGGCACATTCACTGTAGAAGGAACAGAAGTACTACTTCCCCTAGAAATAGATAGTGGTGATTGATAGTCTAAATGGGAAATTCCTTGTGTGTGACTTGTCTTTTCATTTGATCCCCATTTAATCAGTATTATCTGGGTGACTGTACTTGTAATCTTATTGGTTGGTCAGGGTTTTGTCCCACCTCATGCCCACCTTGTAAATTTCCATCATGTCTTATAGTTTTGTCCCACTTTGTACCCACCTCACCACATGGCTTTGCTGTATAAAACATCTTTGAAAAGTGGGGTGGGCGGACAACCCACTTTCTGGTCCCCTTTCTGTCTCTCTTAGGTAGAAGCTTTCTTTCTCTCAATAAATTTTTCCTACTTTTAACCTCTGTTGTTCCTAGAATTCATTCTTCGATTTTAGAGAACACGAACTCCCGTTTCGGATATCTAGCAGGTTTGGGACTTACATCTCTTCCCCCTATATCACTGTGACCAGAAGAACACCAAAACCTTCACCTGCAGTGGGCATGTGTGTTGAGTTCACTGAAGCAGTGGGGATACAATAACTGATAAGACGTGGACCTTGACTTCAAAGTCTGCAGTTCAGTCCATACAGCACACCGATGGGGGAATGTATGCTAGCAAGGTTGACACCCATTAAACCACAGGGATGGAGGTCACCGAACCAGTGACATGGAGCTGCATTTTACAGGATGAGGAAAACAGTCCAGATGGCCAAGGTAAAGACAGGGCATTTTAGAGACAGGAAGCAGCACATATATAAAGATATGGGTTCAGAGAACCTCTGCCTGGAACACGAGGGAGAGATAAAGCTGAATGAGCCTGAAGAGGCAGAAAGGGTCAAATCAGCCCTAAGTCATTGTGCTTCTATGAAGAAGTGCGGTTAATGAGTTAGAGAGGCCAGCATTTCCAGAGATCACCTCATGGCCCTGAGCAGGGAAGACGGCAGGAGGGGTCTAAGTGAGGTGAGAAAGGCCTGAACAAAGGTGAGTGTGGACAGAGCGCCAGATCCGAAAGGGATTCAGGAGAGAGTAATGACAGGATCCAGAGGCTGCCTAGGGCAGCAGACAGCATTTGCGGTGGGGAAAGGAAACAGGAGGGAAAAGAACACTTCTGACTTTTATTGCTAGGTGGATGATAATGTTATCAACAAAGATGTTAAGCTAGAATTTTTACTTAAAAAGCAAATCTGTAAAGATTATAGTCAAATGGAATATGGTTTTTTAAAATTCAGAAGTAAATGAAGAATTAAGTTTTATCCAATTATTAAAACATGACTACAGCTTATACTTAAGCAGACAGAAAAGACTTACCCTAGCCAAGAGCTCAAACTCTGGAGCAAAATTTTGGCAAGGTCCGCACCAAGGTGCATAGAAATCGACCACCCAATGATTTTTCCCCTGTAAAACCTTTTCACTGAAAGTCTGAGGTGTCAGATTTGTGGACACTTGAGGTAAAAATCTGTAGAAGGAATAAAAATCATTTTTCATTATACAAAACCAAAGCAAACATTTAAAATATAATATCGCAAGACTTTCTAAGTTAAAAATGATTCCAAGTATATCACTGTAATTATACTCAGCTGTCTTGGTAAATATAATTCTTTAATAAGTACTTTAAATGCTAGAATCTTAACCTACAGAAAATTTACAGCCAAAAGGAAGGTGGTTTTGAATCTATTTTATACAATGGTATATGTATTTTAATTACTCACCCTAGACCCCAGATTCTTAGGGAATAAGCATCCCTATTCCAACCATTGTAACTACTGAAAGAAAAAAAATATTCAGTTGAAAACTGTATTTTCTATTATTGGATATATGTTCAGAAAACAATCTTATGGTAGCATTAAAATTGGCTGACTTCTAGTATATCCCTTCTTAGATATATTTAATTCAAATACTGGTCACATGACTTTCAAATATATTTTTCTCCAGTCTTGTATTTGTCTTCTGGGGGAATGGTGTGTATGTGTGTGCTGGGCACTGAATCCAGGGCCTCACGCATGTTAAGAATGCGCTATACCCTCAGCCCCAGTCTTTGTGTATCTTTCTGCTCCAGATAAATCAGAATGTCTAGCTGCCTGTTGGATATATCCTGCAGATTTAGGTGAACTTGACAAGTCCTATCTCCAAGACTCTAGTTTCTCAACTTGTACACAAGGTACTATTGTCTGTCAAACTCCCATCCAGTTTTTAAAGACTGTCATGTCAAAAACTACCTCAAAAACGCAGTTCTTCATGATTTCCCCAGTTATGATGTTACTTCTTAAAGCCCATGAATCACGTTCACTGCTTTACTAACATTCATCATACTCTGCTTTAGACCTGAGAATTCTACTTGAAATTAGCTGGTGGTGTGGAAACAGCACAGGCACTGGGACAGTCCCGAGTTCACGTCCCAGCTTTAACCCTTAGCAGGCGAGTGACTTGGGAAAGCTTTCTAAGTGTTGAGGACTACACTTCTCTTCTTTATAATAGTAGGAAGGGCAGAAATTCCCTCCTCACTGTCTACATGAAGACTAGTGGAAATAATGTGAGTAAAGATCTACTACAGTACAGTATGTGAAACAAGAAATGTTTAATGTTAGCTCTTTCTCCCATGTTCTTGACTAGGTTATCAAACTTCTTGAATAGTTCTACTGTTCAATTCTCTGTTCATCTTCTGAAGGCTCATTAACACTATCTTAAATATGGTGTGCTCCCAATATCTGCTTAACTTTTATTTAGTCACAATAACTGTATAATTAAACCACTGTAATATTATTAAGGCTTCAAATTTGAGAGAATACTTACTGATACTGATAGCCTTTATTTGATTTTTGGGGATAAAATCTTATTTCAGGGTATCTCTGAACATTTTCTTGGACACAGAAAGAACGATACTGTTGGCAGTCTACACTGCCCACATTAATCAGTCCAGTTAATGTCTAAAAGAGGAAATCAGAAGTCGTATCAATGATTAAAATAAAACAACCTCTACAGTTTTTGATGTTTATAATAAAGAACTGGTAGCTGTAAAATGCTCATTATTTACCAGTGACTATAACCAAATAACAACGGATAAGTACTTAACTTACAAGAGACCATTTAAAAACTAATGAATTTGAAATCTAATACTGTAATTAATGACAGAATTATTGCAGAACAAATAATATACTTCATTTATTACATAGGAAACATATATTTTGGTTTTTCAAACTCAAGTGTTAAAAACCAAATACTAATGAAGCTCTCTGCAATGACATTTTAAGTGGTGTAATTATTTTTTTTTTTGGTATTGGGGATTGAACTGGGGTCCTTGCGCTTGCGAGGCAGGCGGCGAAACCACTGAGCTAAATCCTCCGCCCGTGCAATTATATTTTAAGTAATTACTTTTTCCAATGGAGGCAAGGAAGGATTGCATGTATCCTTTAGCTCACACCCAAATCACAAAATTTTATTGAAAAGGTGTTAAGAGTTATAATCTTTTTTTGTTTTTTTTTTGGGTACCAGGGATAGAACTCAAGACCTTAGGCTTGTCAGGCAGCGGCACCACTGAACTAATCCCTGGCCCTAAAAGTTATAATCTTAAACATTAAAACACTAGAAATCACTTTAACTCTCAGTTTTTTACTTTAGAAATGAAGACTAACTACATTTTTCACCCTGGCATTTAAATCATTTCCAATCTTTCATAATTTCTAACACTGTGGCTATTTGCGGGAAATTTCTAAATAAAATTGTTCTCCTGATCAAGACTACTTTTTTTCCCTTAAAGTCTCACAGTACTGTGAAGAAATGATATTTAAATTCTGAGGAAAAAGCAGTAGAAAAAATTTAAATAGAAAAATAAAAGGGTGTTTTGGGTTGACATTGGTAACAATTTGGTCACAACTGATGCCACACAAAAAAGGCTAAGCCGACATAACAGACAGAAACCGAGGTGTAGGGTCTTAATGGTATGATCAGGGCTGTTGTTAATCATTTAGTGAGTGTATCTCAGTTTAAAAATAACTGTTAAATAAACATTCCTTAGTAAGTGGTTAAGATTTAAAATAAAGGATTTGACTGTACCCGGGCCATTCTCTTCCACTCTGGCATCAGGACTTGACAGGGGTGACACCATGGAGAATAGAAATCAACCATCCAGACCTCGTCATGCTTCCTTTGTTTAACCAGTTCGCTGAATGTGGTGGGTGTAAGAGAGACCACTGAAGGGTTCCTAAGATCCTAAAGAAAACTCGAACTACTGTTAAAGGATATTAAAAAGTTGTTCACATATTCCTAGAAAGTTCCCGCTTTAGAGAAATGAAAAGATGCTTAAGGATATTTAAAAGCAATCTATAGTGAATTGTCTCAAAAACTGAAAAGCACAGCTGGGCGTGGTGGCACACACTGGTCATCTCAGCAGCCGGTGGGCTGAGGCACGAGGGTCACCTCACCACCAGTTCACCTTCTCTCAAGAAAACAACAAAATTTTTCTTAACTTTGGATTTTTGTCCATCAGTTTCCTTAAACAAAAGTATATTTTTCCTTATCTCTATCACTAAAACCATTATAGGCTCATTCAAGAGGCTTTTTTAAGGTCAGGAGTAGATAACAGTTCAGGAGCTGCTCATGTGTTGTCTGTCCAAGAGTGACTGGGTCAGAAATGGCCCTTGATTACTAATGGAATGCCTGCTGTCGCTGTTGTTTTTCAGACATTTTGACTGGAGCTACTCTATTGTACGTCTCTAAAGATCACATGTTCCAAGTGCTGCTGTCACCAAGTTTCAGCCTATGAGGTTCAGATAACTAACAAGGAGGGCAGTGTCACTGGGAAAACAAGCAAAAAACACCAAGCACTGTTTTGGAGGTGGAGGGACAACGAATAGGACCGAGTGAAATGGTGCTGAAATGGGACAGTTCTCAGCTAGAGCTTCTTGTTCTTTCTCAGGAGCCCCATGACCTCCTGACTGAGGCCTCAGAGGTGCTGGGCCACAGGAGATTCTTCCTTAATGCAGCAAGGAGATGGAGGCCACTGGGCATGCTGCTGCGTGTGCAGGGCAAGGGGGAAACAGCTTTAGGTGAAAACACAATTTCATACACTCAGTACAGAGTTGAATCCACTACATACAGGGCAATACACTCGGTAACAACACAGACTTGAATTTTAAAAAATTTCCTTTTTAGGAAATAACATTTTAGCATGAAATAGTCAATACTGGACTTAGGAACAATCATTTGAAGGATTTCTAGTCATATGTTGTAACTGAAAATACCTCTATGAACTCCAGGATCTGCTCTGCAGAGTGATGGCCTTCATACTCGTGAATACTGGACTGGTTGAATACCATTGTTGTTGGGTAAGCCTGAATATTATACTGTCAGGGAAGAGAATACAAATTAACCAAAGGTGTTATGAATGATACCTATTTCTTTCCATTTCATAACCAGCTTCCTTAAGTAACAACAATCAGATCTAAAAAACCTACAGCTAAATTTCTGGTGACTAAAACATGCTAGCCTAGACATATTCAGCAAAGGATTCACAGTTGTACTGATGAATACCTGGATCTTTATTTTAGGTACTTCATTAGCCATAAAAATCAAAGGTATCAAAACACGGAGAAGGTTAGCATGAGTAATTACATTCTTGGTGCTTTTTTTTTGGTACCAGGGATCGAACTCGGGTTCTTGTGCTTGCGAGGCAGGTGACAAAACCACTGAGCTAAATCCCCAGCCCCTTGGTGCCTTTTTGCTGAACCAAAGAAGAAGCTGTAAAAAGTATGTTTGTATTTCATCACTTTTTAAATCATAGTAAATACTCTTAAATTTTTCTAGAAAGATGATTAAGAAATTAAAATAGAAAAAATGAATGTGTATACTATTTTAGGTTCAAGAAATATGAATCATGCCCTAATTATCTGGTCATGTTTTAGTATTAAAGATAGTCTTTATGGTACAAAATTGCTTAATTTCCACTTCAGAATTAATATGGGCACTGTCCCACGAAGTACAGTATATTCCTGAAGTTTTAATTTTCTAGTAAGTTACAAAGAGATGTGCTATGGCTGAACTTTATATTCCTAAGTGGATAAGCACACATATCTTGAAGAGTCATATTATTTAGCAAAAGAGTTGCAACATTTATCAGAACTCCGAAAAAAAGTATGTAAATTCAAATAATTCATTAGATTAATAAAACAGTAAGTAAAATTTAACAAGTATTTATTATGTGTCAAATACTAAAGATACCGTTTCTTATGATTTTGTTTAGGAGTTAAAGTTACAAAACCTACTTCACAGATAAGAAAACAGTGACGGAGGGGGCCAAGCGACTTGATCAAACTGAAACAATGAGTGAGTGGCAACTAATTAGTAGTGAACCTGATCCCATATTTTGTTTTTTTTGAGGCAGGTCTCTCTTTGTAGTTCAGACTGGCCCTGAACTCACTAGGTAGCCCAGGGTGGCCTCGTGATTCTCCCGCCTCAGCCTCCTGAGTGCTGGGATTACTGATCCTACATTTTAAATCCCTACACTTCTTTCTTATGTGCTACTTAATGATTTGAGATAAAAAGCTAAAGTAAGATAATTATTGTTTCACAATAATTTTGCATCTTTGGTTGGCCTTTATTTTTCAAAGTCACCTATAGAACATTAGAAACGAAAAGTCCCGTTTTCTTTTTAAAAACTTAAATAACATTTCATGCATATTGAAAATTTGAGAATATATCCTGACAAGTACCTACGTGTACCTCCCTGTAACCAACAGTAATCAGCTCTGGGCAGATTGTGACGCTTCCTGGCCCCACCTGCTGAGATCTGCAGAGTGCAAGCCCCAGGCGCCAGGGCGCTTGTGCCTGTCACTGCAGTCCCCAAACAGTAACAGATCTGGAGAGCTAATCAGCTTCAGGACTGGCTTTTTTTTATGCCAACAGTAATTAGAGGTAGTATTAGATACCTTCATCACAAAGTATAAAATTGGAACCGAGGACTAGAAAGTATTTGTTTACCTATGAAAATATTTTCATGTAGGAATTTTTTTTCTTTTTTTGGTGGGGATCGAACTTGGGTTCATGCGCTTGGGAGGCAGGCGGCGGAACCACTGAGCTAGATCCCTGGCAGAAAATATTTTCATGTAAACAAAGGGTTCAAAATGCTTGTTCACCATTTTAATTTTTTTCACATACTTAGAAGACAATTATAAGGAAAACCAAAGAAAATTATAGTCTGCCCAAAAGGTAATGCTAGGATAAGGAAACACGAATTACTTACCTGATTTTCCTATTTACTTAAGATATTTATCTAGACTGCTATTTTACAAAAAATATTAACTGAACTGTATTTTTTATACTTTGCCTTACCATGTTACAGAGTCCTTCATGAACTGTACAATCTAGGGTACCAAATTTCAGCTGGCCATAAAGAAGTGTCGATGCTTTCCGTAACTCTGGCAGTAAAGCTTGACACGGTGGACACCACTAAAAAAGAAAAGCATTGAACTAAGCACCACTCTTGTAATAGGCAGTGTGCCTCTTCCGGGTACATGCTCAGTCCCTGGAGAGGTACAGGTATCAGTGCTCACTTACGAGTTTATGCAACGGTGGCTCAAACAAGTAATAATGGCTCAACATCATTTACAAACTTCTTTTTGCCCTGACATGAAAATACAGTGCAGTATTGAAATGTGACAGATAAAAATAACTTACAGGAGCAAAAAAATCAACAAGCCATGGTTCTTTGTCACTGGATGGAAAATTTTGAGGTCCAAGTGTGGTAACATGAGAATTAATACTTTCTTTGGCAAAAGCAAGTATATCATATAAAATCTTCTTTCCTTTGAAATTAAGAGAAGAATTAAAATCTACATTCGGTATTTACATAGAAACATTTTAAAGTTCTTACATTCAATATTAAAGCTAGATGAACTTACAAAACAAATCAATTTTGGTAGGTTTTTGCATTCTGTGTATCTACATGGTTTTTCTCTACTGGGAGTACCTTTTTCTTGAACCCTCTGTATCTTTGCCTAGTCAAAATGTCAAAACCTCTGTGAAATGCTCCATCTTCACAGGTAGAACAATCTCTCTCTTTTTTTTTTTTTTTTGGTACCAGGGATCGAACTCGGGACCTTGTGCTTGTCAGGTGGGCGGCAGCACCTCTGAGCTAAATCCTGGCCCAATGACTTTGAATTCTTTATGCTGTTATTATGGCCTAACTCCTACATCTGTTTCAACTTACTATGAATACAAAACCTGTGTTACCAACCAACCAGTGGAAAACTGTACCTGAACAGCACACGAACTTTGCAAACACAAGATCTCCAAACTGAAGCTGAGTTATTTTCCCCCCAAATGTGCTTCTTTTCTCACCTTCTCTTGCTTGGCAATAACATAACCCCATCAGCCCGGTGCCTAAATAAGATTCCCAGGAGTGACCCTCGCCTTGCTTGTCTGCCTTTGTATCCTAACTCCATCCACTCCATCTCTTACTGGGTCTCCAACCCTACTGCAACTGCCTGAATTCACCCTGGCCTACTGCAATAGCCACAATGGTATTGCTGTCCTCAGCTCGCTTTAATCCATTTTCTACACTGCTAGCACAGCCCACCTATAAATATCAATTTGCTTAAATGCCTCTAATAATTTACCATTGCACAAAGAATATCCTTGGCATGGCAAACAGTATGTTTCTTAACCAGAGCAGTTTATTTTCACAAGTGCCCTTTGACTCATTTATTCAGGAGTCAAAATTAAGTATCTACTATGTGTACTTGCCTTATATTGTAAGGCAAGTAAAAATGAAAAAAGTCTTCTTTAAGTTCACAGCCCAGCAGAAGAAACACATTTCACAACTATATGGAGATAAATAATATCAAATTCTCCTGCTTTTTTCTTCAGCCGCTGTTTCTTCAACTGCTTCACAGATATCTTCGCCTCTGAAGAAGTGAGGCTCCGGACCGGTCTATGTTAAGAGAATCCAGATTCGGCAGCTGCAGTCTGCCTTTCAAAGGCCGGAGCCCTGACTTACTCGACAACCTGAGTCCAGAGTGGTGCAGCTAAGCTGTTTTCAGATTCCTGACCAACAAGACGTGAGTACACAAATCTGTTGTTTCAGGCTGCTAAGTCTTGGGGTAATTTACTACACAACTGATAAGTACTACTCCTTGCTTCAGACAGATAATTTAAAAATTTATTTATTTATTTGTTGTTTTCTCTCCTCGATAATATTCAAGGCAGAGATTAAGTTTACATTTTTTCCCTACTTTCCATATTGTACCTATTTAAATTTGGACACAATACAAGGTATAAAATTAGCAATAGTACATAAAAGTGCTTGGGGACTCTGTTGTGATTTTCCATGGAAGAAACTGCTTTAAGTTCTCAAGGTTATTTGCAGTTTGCTGAATATTTGGAGGACCAGGAGGAATTAAAAAAAAAAAATCATGCATGAGGGCATAAAAGAGTGAAAGAACAAGGTGCTTTCAAGGATCCAAAAGCTAAGATCATCTGGGGCCAGAGGGGAATTGTGAGTCTCTCATTTATTTAACAAGTACCTCCCTAAGCTCTGCTGTGTGCCAGGCGCCATTCTAAATGCAGGGCAGGTACAGAAACAGTTAGTACTGCCATGCTAAGGGATCTGAACGTTAATCCAAAAGAATCAGGAGGGTCAAGAAAGGTGACCTGAAAATGGTGTTCTGGGCTCAAGCTCCAAAGACATGACAAGGACTCAACTGTAAAAAGAAAAGACTAGAAGATGACAGCCCCAAAGGAAGATGTTTTTACGGCAGAGCAAAGAGGTGACAGGCTCGAAACAAGGCAGCAAACACGGAAGAGTGGAACCCGAAAAATACCCGATCTCCATTCTTAAAGCTTAGTAAGTCACTGGTGCTTTAGGGTCTGACACAGTTAGCAGGCGACGTCTACCTGTAGAGTCAGACATGTTTGGATTTAAAAATCTACCTTTCCAGTTTTCTAGTTACTAATAAATGAAAGCAAGAATTATTAACAATAAACCTCCGCACACAACACAAGATAAAAACAATTAGAAAATTTGTATCTAGAAATGAACATGAACTTATTTTTACCATGATGAATTTCATATTCTTTCGTTCCTTGTCCTTTAAATACTGCCAGACAGGGCTGGAAAACATAGAGATCCCTACAGACGCTGGGCGCAGAGGAGCAATCGAACCTTCCCACCTGAAAGACAGGGTTGAATTTCATGGAAACTAAATCCTATCCATTCAATTTTTAAATATTCCTAAAAAGAACTCTAAAATGACACTCGTCTCCTGGCACTATTTCTCAACAGAAGTTAATTATAAAAACAAAAGGAAAATAGTTCATTTACATTTAGTATGGAAAATTCAATTCAGTTAAATGAATGCTTCCTGCAGAGTCAGAAACTGGAGAGGAAATTTCCAAGGAAACATGAAATTTTTAAAGAAACATGCTCCATAAATGTATGGGATGTTTAATCTTGGGCCAGAGGAGGGAGAACTGAATAAGTGATAATTAGAAAAAGTCTGTTGTTTTTATACAGTGTGAAAGAAAATAGCACACATAACGGAAATGATAAACCAAGAAAAAAATTATAGCCTTTGGGCTGGGTATTTCTCTCAGTGGTTCAGGTTCCTGCCTTGCAAGCACAAGGTCCCGAGTTCATGCCCAGTATCAAAAAAAAAAAAAAAAAATTATAGCCTTTAAGGAAGATCTATTAAGAAATAACAGGACAGCAGGGTGTGGTGGCACACATCTGTAATCCCAGTACTTGGGAAGCTGAGGCAGGAGGATCAGTGTGAGTTGAAGGCCAGCTTGAATTACATAGCAAGACCCTGTCTCAAAAAAAACAAACAAGATAAACACTGCACAGGAAAAAAAAATGTGCCAAGGATTTAAAGAGAAAATAAATTAGAGAAGAATTATGATCTGCCAATAATTGTCTATTCTTTCAACCATACTACAAAGCAAATTAAATTGTAGATTGTTAATATATTACTTTTGGGCTATCAGAATAGTGAAGAATAAAGAATATGGCTGACAGAGAAACTTTCTGGAGGGCTCTAGTAATGAGGATCAAAAAGAAAAAATATGTAACTCAGTCAAAAGTTTTCAAATTAAAATACCTGGACAAGTCTTGCATCATTTGATATTTTAAAAAATGAAAATAATAGCAAGAGATCTGTTCATTGTTTTTTTTTGGTACTGGGGTTTGAACTCAGGACCTTGCGCTTGCAAGCAGGCGGTGGAACCACTGAGCTAAATCCTCGGCCCTTGTTAAACAATTGATGTGAACACATAGTAAAATACTACTTAGCTTTTAGGGAGGAACAAAGACAAAGACACACACACACACAAGTGTATGTACTCACAGGCCAGTGACAAAGTTCGATGCTGCTGAATGGAAAAGCTTACTACAGAACGGTATGTAGTGAACCTACTGTGATTAAACAGCAAACACACAAAGTGGGGCGCGGCGGCACATGCTGGTAACTCCAGCATTCTGGGAGACTGAGGCAGAGGGAATGCAAGCTGAAGCCCAGCCTGGGAAACTTAAAACCTTGTCTCAAAATAAAAATTTAAGGCCGGGGGTTTAGCTCAGTGGCATAGCACCTGGCTCGCAAGCACAAGGACCCGAGTTCAATCCCTGGTACAAAAAAAGGGTGGGGGAGGATGTAGCGCAGGGTGAAGACCCTAGATTTAATTTTGAGTACCACACACACATACATATACACAACCATTACAGTACGTATCCATGTGCACACACACATCTGCCCACTTACCCTAGTGCTCATAAAGTGTTTAAAAGATTACACAGTAAATTCCTAATATGGTTAGCAACAGTACTGAAAGTACAGGTGAATTTTAAGGTAACTGTTGTAATTCATTTTGGTGTTTATGCTTGTATATCCTAATTTTTAAGCAATGAGCAAGAACTACTTACAAGAAAAATTTATGAAGGAGCAGTTTGGCGTGTAAAGTGTTTGGCACTTGGAAATTGCTACTGTCCATCATTCATGAGAAGAAAAGGCTGATTAAGTCAGAACTGAACAACTCTGAAGTCACTGGACTGGGGTCGCAGGGCACACCACTGCCCCGGGGCTGAAAAATGATTCCTGACCAGAGAAAAGCCTTGCACTGGGAACCTCGGTGGCAGCTGGTGCGAGAATCAACCCAGAGAGCAGTCTCACAGATAGGCTTCATCTTCACTGCCTGAGATGAGGAAAACCCAGCTGGGTTTTCAGGGTCGAAGAGTAGAGCCCTGGGCTTGCCTCCCTCAGAGTGAACCAGGCACCACCGCAACCGATGACTGAGGAGGTGCAACGGACTCAGCCAGGGAACGATGGAAACCCTAAACGGCACACAGATGGCAGGCGAGAGAGAGAAGCAGAGGGCACTGCATATGGGGCCCTGCTCTCTGGCTGCGGGGGACTCCACATTGAAAGGAAAGGGCAGTGACTGCCATGGTAGTGCAGACCAGCAGCTCTTCCTGTAAGGCTGGGAGCTGCCTGGGGTCCATGCAACTGCTCTGCTCCAGAGAAAGAACTGGAAACAGGCTCCCCCACCAAGCTCCAGAGCCCAAGCCGTAGGCAGGGTGCCACCATAAGAACAGTGGCGTTGCCAGATATTATCCTGCCCTGGGGACCGGTAAGCAGTCCCCTCATGGCCAAAGCTCTGGTGCCAGGGGAGCTTACCTTGCAGGGCCTGAGGAGGCGCCTTCAGATTCCATGGCCCAGCACTGCAACTGCCACTGCCAGAGGCCACACTGCCACTGACGCTTGATGTAGTGGGATCTGTGATGGGCACCTATGGGAGGCCACTGACCTCCATACACATGCAGACCCGACCACCGTGGCACCTGGAGACACACTGAGGAAGGCATGTGGAGGCCACACTTGTGTCTTCACTGAGCACCCAAGCCCAAGTACCTACCAAAATGATATCCTGTGCCCCATCCAAACAAGTCTTTGCCTACTGAAGCTACCCCACAAAAAAGGAAAAGAAGCAACTGTTACACTGGATGTGCAGACACTAATGTAGGGATACAAGAAAAATTAAAAAGCAAGGAAACACGATATACTTCCAAAGAAACGCAGGAATTCACCAGAAACTAGCTAACATAAAGGAAATCCATGAAATGCTTCAGAACAAATTAAAAATGTTAAGAAAACTTACAAGAAATAACAGACAAGTCAATGAAATGAATGAAACAATTTAGGAAGTAAATAAGACATTTAATAGAAATAAAAATAATAAATAGAAATCCAGAAGCTAAAAAAAGTCAGTGACTGAAAATACAGCAGAAAGTTTCAACAACTGGCTACTTTAGGCAGAAGAAAAAAAATGAAGACAGGTCTTTTGAAATAACTCAGATGGATTTAGAAAAAAAAGAATTGAAGCCTATAAGAGTTAGGAGAAACCATTAAGCAAACAAGTGTCTGTACTATGGGGATTCCACAAAGAAAACAGGGAAAATGAAAACTCCCGAAGTCTTGAATGAGACAGACATCCAGATCAAGGAGGCTCCAAAAGACTTTAGACGCAACCGAAAAAGACCTTCAAAGCTTACTATATATGCAGTCAAATGTCAAAAATAAAAAAGAATTCTAAAAATAGCAAGAGGAAAGCATCCAGGCACATACAAAGGAATTCCAATTAGCCTAAAAGACTTCTCAGGAGAAATTTTAAAGGCCAAAAGAGAAATGGGATGCTATATTCAAATCCTGAAAGAAAACAAAACACAAAAAACCAAACCAAAACATAAAACTTGTCAACCAAGAATCCTGTATCTATCAAAGCTATCCTGTAAAAAACCGACAGTTACCACTAGACCAGGCTAACAAACAATGGTTAAGAGACTCCTGTTCAATATAGTTCTGGAAACATTAGCCACAGCAATTAGAAAAGAAAGAAATAAAAGGAATAAAGATAAGAAAGGAAGAAGTTAGAAGACTCAAAAGACTTGGCCAAAAGATTTCTAGACTTAATTGACAGATTCAGTATAGTAGCTGGATACAAGGCCAACACTCAAAAAACAATAGCCTTCTTATACACAAATAGCAGACTCACTGAGACAGAAATTAGGGAAACAATTCCTTTTGCAATAGCATCCAAAAAAATGAAATATCTAGGAATCAACCTAACAAAGGAAGCAAAAGACCTCTACAATGAAAACTACAGCACTCTGAAAAATGAGACTGAGGAGGAGATAAGAAAAGGGAAAGATATCCCTTGTTCCTGGGTAGGAAGAACCAGCATAGTGAAAATGGCCATATTTCCAAAACTGCTATACAGATTCAATGCAATCCCAATTGAAATCCCAACAATATATTTCACAAAGCTGGAGAAAACCCAAAAATTCATTTGGAACCAGAAGAGACCTAGAATAGCAAAAGCAATTCTAGACAACAGAGACATGGCAGGGGGTATCACAATCCCCAACTTGAAACTATACTACAAAGCCACTGTGATAAAAACAGCATGGTACTGGCAAAGAAACAGACCCAAGGATCAGTGGAATAGACTAGAAGATACACAAACAATTCCAGACATACTCAGCTACCTCATCTTTGACAAAGGAGCCAACCACCCTCTTTGGAGGAAAGATAGCCTCTTTAATAAATGGTGTTGGAAAAACTGGTTTTCAACCTGCCAAAGATTAAAACTAGACCCATATCTATCAGCATGCACTAAACTAAGATCAAAGTGGATTAAAGATCTAAATATTAAAACAATGCTTAAGGGAGTACATCTGTGATGAAGAAATGCTCAATACTACTAATCATCAGAGAAAGGAAAATTCAAGCCACAATGAGGATCCATCTCATTCCAGTTAGAATGGGTATTATAAAAAGGAGAAAAATTAACCAATACTTGTAGGGATGCAGAGTAAGAGAAACTAATACACTGTTGGTGAAACTGTAAATTAGTATAGCCACTGAAAGAACAGTATGGCTATCATATTATTCAACAATCCCACCAGTAGGTAATCCAAAGGAAATAAAATCATTGTATCAGAGTTTTATCACAGCAGTACTCACAACAGCTAAGATACGGAAACAACCAAAGCATTCATGAACAGATGAATGATAAAGTATAGTATATACACATGACAGAAGATTATCCAGCCCCTTAAAAGAATGAAATTCTGTCATCTGCAGCAATGTAGATGCAACTGGAAGGCATTAGGTTAAGAGACGTTAAGTGAAAAAAGGCACAGAAAGACAAATACCACGTTTTCATTCATTTGTGGAAGCTAAAAAAATTGGTCTCACAGAAGAGAATGGGACAGTGGTTGCTAGTGACTGGGAAGGGTAAGGAGAAGGACAAGGGAGAGAGGCTAGGTAACAGGTACCAAAACAGTTATGCAGAAAGAATTTACAGTAATTATTTTTTATAATTTGAGACATTTCAAAATAACTACAAGAAAAGGTTTCAAATACACAGAAATGATAAATGTTTGAGGATATACAAATGCTAATTACCCCAATTTGATAATACACAGTACTGAACTACATGTATTGAACCACTGTACTATACCTCATATGTACAAATATCATGTCAATTTAAAAAAGCAAAGATTTCATATTGAAATTGTTTTGAAAACAGGTTAAATAAAACATTACTCTGAAAAAGGGAAAGACATTCTTGTATTTAAACCAGAAAAACTGTATGATACAGATTTGTCAAATGCCAAAAGTCACCACTTTCAGATATCACGTCAATTTTGTAATATAAAAATAAAGCAAAAATCGCAACTCCAAGATCAAAAGCATTAATAGGCTTATTAGAATGTCAATAAACAGTTATAGGTATTAGACTGATAAGGAAGCATACAAGTAGATGGTGAGACAAAATACATTTTTTCTTACTTGAATATGGTCATTTTTAAGTAGAGTTTTCAGTTTTTTCAACTCAGGATCATTTGAATTTTCATTTTTCCCAAAATAGAAAAATATGAGCCAGCGATGATGTGCCAAACGATCCTTCAAAATGATGAAGAAAAAGAAACATCAGAGATCAGAAATTCTAAAGGATCTAATCTTTATTTCTTTGGCATGAAGTTAGTTTTAGCTACCTTACCCATTAATCCAAAATACAATCTAAAATGCAGACCCATTCATACTGTTACTGTGTAGTTTACTGGGAATAGCTATGCAGGTAGATAAGTCACTGAGTTAATAAATCTTGAAGGAGATGACTATGTCTCAAAATATGGGTCTAACAATACACAGCTGGAAACCGAAGGCAAGTTTGGAGAAGTTAGCTTTATCAGGTTTAATATGTAAGATCTGGCAGAAAAACATGCTCTGGGAGCAGGAAGTAGAATAAAGTAATTGATTCTCTAACTGAATTCTTTCTAAGCAGTCTATTTATATACAATGCTTTTTAACTCTCAGTGGACAACAAAATGTTCTCTTGGCAAGAAAATAAAATTCCAAGTCAGATCCAAAGCTGCTTTGTGACAAAAATCTTGCCTTTTGGACCCTTTTTTTGAAGTCCATCTTCAGGACTGGGCAGGTTTTTCAAAACTACAGAATCTACTTTGAATCACCAACACCAGATTTTCAGCAAATAGAATTTAACCTACAAGTGACTAATACATAAGTCTTTCAAATGCTACTTTCAATTCAACATCAATAAATAAAACAAATGCCTGACTTTAAAATAATAAGATTTTATGGAGTACTACTCAGCCATAAAGAACGAGAAACTAGAGACATTTATAGCTAAATGGATGCATATTGAGGCCATACTCTTCAATGAAATAAATAGGACACGTGTGTAAATACCGAATAGTTTCTCTAGTGGGAGAAACTGAAAGTGTAAATAAGGATTAAAATGATTAAAACAAATAACTGATAACTTGAAATAGGAAAAGGTCCAAAGGTGTAGGGGTAGTGGGAGGGGAAGGGGAAAGGAAAAATTATGAGAAAAGGGAAAAAAAAATGGAAACGAAATCTATGCAAATAGGGAAGGGTGGAGGGGGTGAAGGACGCACAGGTAATGGGGAAAAAATAAGAGCTAAGATACATCATGTACAGGTACAAGCACCCAATGGTAAATATAAATGTATTTTATACCTAAAATGTACCAACAAAAGAATTTTTAAAAAATTAAGATTTTAAATGTTAACCACATTTACTATTTATTATTAATAAAAGTGTTACCTCTAGTGCTTTTGCTGAAAGTAGTTCAAAATCTGGAAGTTTATGTATTATTTCCAAATATATTTCTTTAGCATCCAATGAATTAAGAAACTAGAATAAGAGAATCACATTGTAATCTTTCAGATAAATATTCATTTACTATATTCTTTTAACTTTTCAAACAGGAACAATTACAAAAGTTTTTTCAAACTATTTCAAATGCTGTTTTTTCAAAGGTACAGTATATCATTAATTTGGTAAGTATTAAAAATATTGCATAACTGGGTTGTTTTTTTTAAAAGTGATACAGGGCCAGGGATTTAGCTCAGTGGTGCCGCCACCTGCCTCGCACGCACGAGGTCCTAAATTCGATCCCCAGAACCAAAAAAAAAAGGAATACAAAAGAAATTCCATTGTTAGGTGTTTTGTTAACTGGAATTCGGTGTTAATCTTACAGTAACTCAGTAACCTCTAAATCATCATGAAAATACATTATATTCAATTTAACACTAACTATCTATAACAGAATTACACTCTTAATTTTTAATAGTAGAATATTTGATGATCTAAGACACTTTATGCCCCAACCATAATTAATAGTGATTAAGAAATTTTGATGGGAAAATTGGAATAGTTATTAATGCTTATTAAGGTTTTCAGAAATGGTAACTTTCACAAACCAAACCACACAGGAGTTTTTAAGAGTGAAATACACAAAGATCTTATTTTAAACATGTTTTAAAGCCACATCTGTTACTTAAAATACAAACAACTCAAACAGGCACTCCTTAATTTCTGTCTATATTTTATGAGCATTTTAACATTTTTATTTATTTTTTATAGAACCCTTCCTTCTGGTCTAATTCTCAAAGAAGCTGCTATTACTATGAAGAGTACAGCAGTGGTTACATTGAGAAAATAAATGAGGGTTGTATATATCTTTATGGATCGTTCAATAATTCAAACATTGAAAGATTTGAAACTCCATTAAAAACACGAAAGAACTATCACTATGGAAGCCATAGCTTAACAGTACTAGATATGAGAATGACAATATGGATAGAAAATTATTCTGTAAGGATTGAAATTTCATTTTTTTAGATTTTTAAAACTTGGTTTCAAGTTTATTAAAATCTACACCATATCCTTAAAGATCTACATGAACTAACATGCTTTAAATACCAAAACAGAAATCTTTCATCTTTTCATTTATAACTTATAGTTCTATATTTTAATTATGAAGATTTTTTAAAATGCTGTTTATGTATGTGCTATTAATATACTATGCCTCATAATAAACTTGTTTGTCTTAAGAGTAAAATTTGCTAATTTCACCTATAAGGATACTTGTCTTATTTCACCTCTGGATTTTAGCTTCCACATGTCCTTAGCTAGCAGAGCACTTTAGTTTTTTTCCCCCCCTGGTATCAGGGATTGAACTCAGGACCTTCCACTTGCGAGGCAGGGGCAGTGACACTAAGCTAAATCCCAGCCCTACTTCAGTTTTAATATGTGAGTGCTTTTAGGAGGGATAAAGAGTGTTTAATTCACCTCCTCTTTTACTGCATTTCCTGTATCACTTGCAATTTTATATCAAAGCCCAAAGTACTCTGTATATAAATATACAAACTACTCAAATTTAGAAGGCAAGAGGCTGTATTAAGTGTTGGCCAGGGTGTAGGCAATCCTCAGTTGAAACTAGCACATTTCTGGAGGGCAACCTGGCAATAGGAATTGAATTTTAAAGAAGTACAAAAAGATGAACATATGGGGACTGTTAATTACTAAAAGGATAATGTATAGAGACTTTAAAAATTATATATATTATATATATATTATATATACTATATATATGAATGAATATTTGTGGACAAGAATTTTCCTGATACATTGAGTGAAAAAATCAGACCACAAAGTATCTATGATCTCATTTATCACTACCTATCTGCACATCTACTTCATGTGTGTGTCACATAGTGCGTACACATAGCATGTTTATATATGCATAGTAGGTACCATAAAGACATACTCAAGTCTTCTAGGCATCTGGTAGACAACAGTGAACAAATCCAAACTAAAACTTCCACATAGGAGAAAAACAAAATAAAGTGCTCTGGTTGCAGTGGAGGTGACTTACAAAACATTTAAAAGACAGAACAGAGTTTCCTGATCAACTGGTTATAAGCCATGAGAAAAAAAGGAATCAAGAATGATGCCAGGGTATTTGGCCTGAAAAATAAAGGATGGAGATGGGGAAAACTGAGTGAAGCAGATGTATGGGGAATACTGGAAGTCCATTTATAGGCATTTAAATGTGAGACACTGACTAATATCACAGAAGTGATATTGAACAGGCAGCAATGTTATGAGTGGGGATGTGCCTATGCAAAGTTTCTGGAGAGAAAGAGAAATATCAGCCACAGAAACTGAAGAGTTGTTGACACAAAGTAGAAGAAGAGATCTAGAAGGGTGTTCACTAAGGTTTGATGGTGGCTGTCTCTGTCATTATCAGAGTCCTCTGTACTCTTCTGGGATTCTGTAGGACTTCTCCAGTATCCCATTATTTATCTCAACTCTATGACAACTAGCTCGAGCCTAAATTATATTGGATTTCCAAACTGAGTTTACACCAGAATCCTACAGGCTGCTTTAAAAAATAGATACCTGAGGCCCAGCTGAACTTATGAATGATCTCTATTTTTAACATCAGGAAAACAATTACATGGAAATCATTAAAAACTCAGAAATGTTTGTTCATTAATCCTACGAATGTATTCCATACCTTTGGGTTTTAAATGTAATGTAAATGCCAGTTTAAAAAATAATCCTTTTATTATAGACTTAGTGAGAAATTACTTCTTCTAAATAATAAAATGTTTCACAGTCAAGTGATGTAAACCAATTTCTTCCTTTGTTCACCACTTACAAAATGGTACATTACTTCTGAATGTGTGTGCATGTTTCCATGTAAAAAGTTATTCATACCAAAATGCTGTTTTTTTCTTTGTTGTTTAAAGTGGCCCCAGGAGGAAAATAAGCGGTAGTACTTGTTGTAATATCCAGACTTTTACAGAGATTGTCCTGGGTGGCACAGTCCGTCCATCCTACATTAATAAGGCCGTCCTAAAATGGAAAGAAAACATGCTATGTTGTAAATGGAAGAAAAGGAGATTTTGCTTTACCTAGGCAAAAAAACCCACTTTTCCACTGTAAAATTGTACTTTGACAATATTTAATAACTTGAGATAATAAAATGCAATTTTCTCTTTGATTTTTTTTTTTTGGTACTAGGGGATCAAACTCATGACCTTGAGCCTTGTGAGGCAGGTGAGGTGACACTGAGCTAAATCCCTGGCCCTCCCTTTGATATTAAACATCTACTTTTTGTAATTTGTACAAATTTTAAAAAACTACATTTACAAATTTTTATAGAAAGGGGGTTTAATAATCTCTTAGGTTAAAATCAAACTTTTGTGTAAGATTTATGATAGTACTTTAGGTATGTATCATATAGTTTCTCAGATATTCTGTGTGTCTACTACAATTAAATTAGTACTTTTCCAGTTTTTACCTATTGGTAGTTAAGCTCTTTTAATGAGCTCCAAAATACTATATGAAAAAGTATTATTTCTCAGAACTTCAAGTTACTGCAAAAATTTTCTGGACAGGGCAATTTGGTAAGCAAATAGAGGATGAACATACAATCAGGATTCCAAAAGACAAGGGAGAAAGAATGGGACATAAACAATAACTGAAATAACTGCTGAGAAGTTTCCTCAACTTTGAACTTAACCTATAGATTCAGAGGTCCAGTAAGTCTTAAGGCAGAAGAAATCTTCAGAAAAAAGTCTCTTAAAAGCAGCAAGGATACATCTTGATCTAGATGTGTTATATGGGAGTATATACATGTTAAAATTAAATTTTACAAGGGTCAGAAAGTTAAAATTTACCATGTAAAAAAGGTACAGAAGACTAAGGTGAAACTTACTGAAGAAAAATTTTATTTTTCTAAAAAGGCAGTATGGCCTAAGTATGCAGTATTTATCAAGTCACAGTCATGCACTGTCATGTCCCAGCCTTCATGTCCACTCAACGGTCAGCCAGAGCAACTTCTGTCCTGCAAGCTCCACTCAAGCTGAGAGCTCTGTATGGACGCCCCACTTTTTACCTTTTGCACGACACTTTTACTGGACTTTTAAAGGTTTAGATACAAGTAGCACTGTGTTTCAAGTGCCCACAGCTTTCAGCATAGTAATATGCTGCAGTTTTGTGGCTTAGGAGCCTCTACCTCACAGGCTAGGTGTGAGGCAGGCTTGTGTAGTGGACTCAATCACATTCACACACTGATGAAACTAATGATGTATTTCTCAGAAAACATATGACCATATATATATATATGCATGCATATATATGTGAATAACAGAAATATAGGGAGAAACAGACAAATCAATGTCTGCAGCTCAAGGCTGCAATTTGTCCACCTCAGAAGTTATAAATAGTACAAAAATAATGCACATACGAATAACATGATTAATATTTTTTTTTTTTTTTTTGTGGTACCGGGGATTGAACTTGGGACCTTGCACTTTCGAGGCAGGTGACAGAACCACTGAGCCAAACCCCCCGGCCCCATGATTAATAAATTTGATCTAATAGACATAAAACTTACACCCTAACACAGAGCACTTACTTTTAAGCTCACATGTAACTTTCCCAATATTAACAACTCCGGAGCACCAAGGGACTCCAATAAGGTTACAGACTCAATATTCAACAGACCACATTTCCCACCCACAACATGACACAGGCAAAATAAAAACACAACAACAAAGTTCTGAATTGAAAAAAACACACATAACTAAGAGAATTCATAATAAAAAATTAAATTGCAGAATCTTAGAAGTGAGAATGAAAATACCACATGGCAAAATTGAACAAAGCTACTTAGAAACTTAGAACATATTTATCAGAAAATAAAGCTTAGAAATATGTTGTGTTCAAGAAATTATGAAAATATTTAGAATCAATTTATAAATGTGCTTCTTCCCGGTGACATAGATTTTACAAAATGAAGGGTGCTTACCAACATGCCGCTAAGCCTGAGTCGTGTCTGTGGAGTCAAACAATCTGAGGGGAAAAAACTGTATGAGACTAAGCTTACACTCGCAGGCCTGTCTCTCAAATTACCATGTCGATGCTAAGGCAATTAATTGAGCTATACTGTCAAATTCTGAAATATTTATTAGATATGGAGGCCAAAGTCTCACTTTACACAAACACACACGTTCAAGTAAAGGATCCTCAGAATACCATTAAATCTGAAAAGAGCTTCTGCACTATTTCCGTAAAGGTCCTGTAAATATGAATGCTAGGATACAATGAGATGAGATTTGGAAGAAGGGGGATCAGCAGCATCACAGCCTACAGAGAACAGTAAAAGTGGTTCACCTAGGGTGAAAAGTCAAAGAATGTTAGGTTAAAATTTTTGTTAACGTGTGGATAGACAGAAATCTGGCCATTAGGCCAAAATGAGACAAAATCCCTTGGTGAATAACTAAATTTATGGCTGATTTATGCTCAAAAGCAAAATCTTCCTAACACAGGCTTTGCAGGATAGAGTGGTTAATTTTAGTTACAATACATTCCTAACAAAGCAGCATAGAGAGTGAGAGGTAAAGTGTGGGGAAAAGACTCATGTTGGGATGAAACATATGCAAATGCATTAATGAATTAGGATATTCAATAATACTGGGACCAACTTTTAACCAACCTAGTTCAATATGATTTCCATTTTGTAATTTGGTATGTGGGGTACTGAATCTTCAACTTCATTTACCAAGTGAAAGGTGTACTTTTATGAGACAAAGGTATAAATATTTTACAAAGAAAGAGAAGTCAAGTCTGTATTACTATGGACTTTGGGAAGGATTATACCGGTTAACTATCATTGCAAACTGCCGAGATAGAGCTGCAGCTACTTGGGGTACAATTTAGCCTAAGTACAATTCAGCTGAGAACTTTACCCAGGAAATGTAAATGCAAATGTAAATGATCCGTTAACAAATTAACAAACTGATATTTTGTGTCTAAAATAATAAAAAAGGTAAATAAGTACAAAATTGTAATCATGGGTTTAAACTGTAGTTTCAAATAATCAACTGATTATTCACTGAAAAATCATTTACAGGAGCATACTTAAAACACTTGAAATTTAAATGTAATGGTCTTTTCATTCTAACACAGTAACAAAAATTACCTCCTCCTTTGGAACAAAAAGTGATCAGCCAGCCAATACCAGCAGCAAATGCAGTTTGTATGGAGTTAACAAAATTCCCTTAAAAGAAAATACAGCAAATTTCTGATTACCTATTATGCAATAATGGAAACAGTCTTCCAAATGCCATTTTTTCTAATCCCACCCTCTTCCAATCCACTGTGAATATTACGATCAGTAATATGACCTTTCTAAAACTCTTCTAGAACATATCAAACCTTTCACTGGCTCCCCAAGTTTTTCATTGCATAAAATCTATATTCAGTATATCATTAAGAAAAAAACTGGCAAGTAAGGCCCCTTGTGGTCTAAGTTTTGTCTCCCACCATTGTTTTTTTCATGCCACTCTATTCCATCACGATCTTTTTGTCTGATTCAGGAAATACTGTCAATTCCCAAACAAGGCTCTCAAGGCTTCCTGGCCATTTCCATGAGAGACTGGGTATGACCTCTTTCTAGAATTATTTTCTAACTTTTCCTCTTTTCCAACGGAATTATTTCATATAATTTATGCTTTTCTAAGCTTACTTCTATTGTAATAGCTACTACATTGCAGTTTAGTTATTTACTAGTTCTTCTTCATTACTGTGAGGAGGTTACCGATGGCAGGGATTACAATGACATATTACTGCTGCCTTAGTATTTAACAGTTTGTGCCACACAACTTGGCACTCAATGAAAGAAACATCCCTTTAGCCATGAACACTACCCTTTCATGGACAATTTTCAGAGTAAATAACCAACCTGAAGTTACCTGATAAAAAGCCTAAGTTTAAAGGTGATTCTGAACTTTAAACTGGATAGCATTAATTTACTATCTATAAAAACACACAATGGGGAAAAAAGAAAAACCGGTACAAATTTCTCTATGATGACTGAGATGATTATGTGTATCAAAAGTGTACCAATAAAATTAAAAAAACACAAAAAACTGTCACTAGGACTATTAAACAGCAGTATTTTGAAAGATGCATTAAACCTAGTCCCTCTCATCCATTTCCCACATCCTAAATGTTTTAGTTTTATATGTAACTAGTTTGTTATATACCTTCTACCAGCAGAAATCAAAGCAATGACACAGTTTCCTTTTAAGAAGCATGGGAAAATTACTTAAAACTGTCAGTATTATGACCTAACTGTTAATGCTGCCACTGTAAAACTAAAATACCAATAAAGTTTCCTTGAAAATCAAGCAAATTAAGAAAACAAAATTACCTGTTGACAGTTCTGTCACTGAGCTTCTCACATGCTGCATGGCAAAATTCACTAAGCTTTCCTTTGATCTGTCTCCATGGTACTTCACTGCAGCCTATTGATTTTTATAAAAAGGAACGTCATTTACATTTACTTTTTAAAACTCACTAATACCAAGTACTCTGATTTATACATGATTTTTGAATAATTCAGTAAAGTTCTATCCATCGGAAGTATATTTCCAAATGATACTGAGAATCTTGATTCTGTAGAATCTAGTTTAATATTATCTATAAAATAGGTTTTGTTTCAGCTTCATCATTGGACAGTGGGAAAAAGATCAGAACTTTATATTCAATGTAAGTACAAAATACATTGCAAATTGCAAAGCACAATTTGCATATTGAATAAATTATGTTAATTGGCAAACATTTTATTTTAAAATACACCAAAGTGAAAGTCATGGCATGTAAAGGTTCATAAAATAATCCAAAGTATTTATTATTACTAGTTAGATGGCACCTAAAATAAGACTTAAATAACTACAAATTCTTATGTTGTATTTTCGCTAGTATTCACTTGTTACAAAGTTCCATGAATTTGAGAAGTGCTAATGGGATCCCTTACCATTCCAGACCTAAAAATGAAGAGGCTTGGATAACTGTTGACTCCTTTCATTCGGCAAAGCATCCTATCATCACCACAGTTTACAGCTCCAATTCGAAGTAATCCATCCACTTCTTTAGCAAATTCTCTCCACTGTGAGAGAAATGAAAGTGTAAGTATTTCTCTGCTAAGATCACTTTCCTTTTCACGAACATACTTCAAATTGTATGGTCTTAAAGGAGAGATTTTTTATCAAATAAAACCATCCATATGTAAAAGTATTTGATATTTGTGATAGTCATAACTACTATTAGTAAAAAAAATGCCAACATATTAAAAAAAGAAATATGCACAAATCACATCAATTAGAAATAAAACTTTAATAATCTGAATGCAAAGAATACGTACAGTGGGGGCTAAATCATGGCAGTGTGAACATCCCGGCGAGTAAAAGTTTACAAACCACAGTTCTCCAGAGTTAACAGCAGCATCTAAAAGCGCACACACACACACAGAATGCATGTTAACTTTAACACATGTCAACTTTTTGTTGAGATCAGAATAGAAAAATATATTTAGTCATGAATCTTTCACACTGCTTTTATCATTTTCTGTAAAATTTTTAATGAAAAAACTTTAAATCTCAAAACAGTAACTTTAAAAAAACTCTAAGTCCATACTTGGGTACGAAGCAGCCTTGAACTGAAAAATAAACATGGCCACAAAGCTCTACAAAGGGGTGGCACAAAGGCACAGCAGCCAAAACTCATCTGAGAGTTTGTGCGGATGAGAGAAATAAAAAGGAGAAACGGTATGCGCTACCGGGCTGTGTACAGCTCAGGCTAAGGTGTTGTCAAACAGTTCTGACAAACTACGCACTTCAAATTCTCAGAATCAGATCAGAGACCTACACAATACAGTGAGGACTGCTAGGATTAAATTTAATCTCTGCCCTCAGTAAGATGTTTTCACTGGAAAACCACGTTGCTTGAGAAGTATAAAATCAAGGTTTTTATCATTTAAAACATCAATACATACTTGCTAAACTAATAGATTTGAACACCATACACTGTTAGCCACCAATGTTTTATAACAATGTTTTATACAAAACGACTTGGTGCAAAATAAAAAAAAATTTCATTCATTTAAAAAACTTAACATAGTAACGATGTGCTCTGATATTCAGGAAAAAAGGCAAAGGCAATTTGCTTTGGGTTAAATGTTTTCACATATAGAACTTCTATATAGAAATTAGTTATCTGGGGAGGAGGGGTGGAAGGGAAGAGAGGGGAATGATAAAAAAGAATCAGGATACGTCATGTACAGGTACAAATTTCCTATGATGAATGGGATCATTATGTGTATCTACAATGTACCAATAAACTTCATTTTAAAAAGATATGGTAGATTAAAAAAATCAGTTACCTAATTTTAAAATGAAACTTCGTAAATTATAGTTAAAAAATCAAAGCATGCATATGATGCTAAATATGTGCTACTGATTTAGGTCAACTGGGAACATACATAGGACTCAATGTTCAGCCACATTTCAGTGACAAATGCAGCTAATCTGTATATTATGGGCAAAGCAGGTCATTGAGGATTTTACCAAGTGTTCTTCCGCAATGTTTAGAAAGTCTAACAAATAGAGCACTGTAGGTGGTCAAAACAACTACCGTGTTGGCTTAGGCCAATAGCTGGTACTAATGTAGGTAGAAATCTTAATAGAATTAATGAAACTAAACTTTAACAGAAAACAGGGATTATCTTATAAGCAAGGTAGCTATTTACATATGAAGAGAAAGCAATGATCATACGAGGCAATACTGCTCCTAAGACTTAAATGAAGTTGTGAGGTAAGCAAATCTGAATGGCACTAAATCTGACATCACACCTCGTTTACTGTGAAAATAATCTATAATAATCTAAGTACTTTGTTTTCGTGGAGCACTTCTAACACCCCTACCCAGTTCTGATTGTTGAGTAATAATGTTAAGAGTAGTTTTATTTTTAATACTATATTTTCACAGCAAGATGAAATGATTTTGTGTAACTCACAAACCCACAATACAATGAATACAGTTCAAAATATTCAGCCTCTAAATCCCACAACAATTAATAATTGTTAATATCTATACAACTATAATTAATAGCTTGTTTACACAGAAAAATGCGACAGTGCAGAAGTACTTATAGTTCCTCTTTCTAGAGCCACCTTTGAACGGATGCTGGTATTATCTGATACTATTCATAAGAACTTGTACACACCTGCAATATTCTTTGTTTTGCAAATGTTTATCTAGAACTTGATTATGACTGATATGCTACCGTATTATAACATAAAAAGGTACTTTGCACGAGTGTAACGGAATGGATGAGACCATTTTTAAATCTCTGAAACTAGAATTTATTAATCACACTCTCCCTTCTGTTCTCAAGTTGATCATTTGAGAGTACCTGGTAAAAGTAAATTATACAATTTAATTCTCTCACTAACAACTGGAGAACTGGATAAAATGTAAAAGACCTTTTGAAAGCACTAGAGCAGTATGGATGGAGTGAAATTTTAGGGGGCCAAGGTATGGGAAAAGGTAGAAATCAAGAGCTAACGTTTGTCTTTTTTTTTTTTGGTACTAGAGATTAAACTTGGGACCTTGTGCTTGCGAGGCAGGGAGTGGCACCACTGAGCTAAATCCCTAGCCCCCATTTGCCATTTTGAGAAGAGACAGCTGACAAGCTAGAAAATAAAAGAGATTTCACATAATTCACTGGGCTAGAAGGACACAAGGGAGTTCAGGGCACATCCAAGGAAGTGTTCTGTAAACAAAGATGAACTAGAAAGTGACCAGTTCTCTCAAGGTCCAAAGCATAGCTTCTGAATCACTTCAGTCTATTTGAATGAAGCTTATTTTGAATGCTGGTGACCTTAATCAGAAGAACATTAAGTCTTCACTTGAGCAAGAAAATATACGTAACTTAAAATAATTTTGTAATTATTTATAAAAAAAATAAGACTAACTATAACCAATAAAAATAACTGGTAATAAAAGAGACCCATAACCAAGGAAGCTAATGGGATATCTACACATAAGCACAAACTGATTCTACTAATGTGTGACATCTTCCCTCTGCTTCTTCAACTAAAACTTCAGGTTCATCTTGTCTTAGTCTAATAATACAAAGAGTAGAATTAGAGACCAGATGGAATAGCGGCAAATATACATTGAATCTATCAATATTAATCATCTCTGAATTACCTCTAGTGTTTCATGGCTGTAATTTATTTAAAACTATCATTTAGAGTTCTATGTGAACTATTAGCAGTTTTCAGCCTTTTTTGCAGGGACACATTTGAAAAAGGTTGAACCCAGGTGCCAAATAAGTAGTTTCATTCTAGGTGAACTCATGCATTAGTTTACAGGTTTTGTTCAGTTCCTCTGGTTCTATCTATAGTTCCAATTTTTTTTTGACCCTCTTGGTTCACAAGACCCTCACTGATCACACTAGGAGATGAGTGACAATAACATCCACACAAGAAAAGCAATTAGGTTCATATAATGATGTGCCATAAAATTATGATTCCTCCGGTTTGTGATACTGGTATTAGTTTTGTCTACCAATAATACAAATAAATTAAAATTTCCTGTTTTCATTGTAGGGACTACATATTTTCTATTCGTTTAAGTGTTTATATTTCAAGATTTGTAACAGTACTAAAATGACACACACTTTTTAATCCCTGAGCTCACCCATCAAAAATTTAGAATAAAAGGTAATCCCTGCTTAGAAGAAACAAATTGTATAAAACCAAGTGGTGGTAAAACATCTTTTATCATGATAACATAGAAAAACATTTTATAAACAGTTTTTGCAACTTGTATGCTATTTTAGTTTTCTAAACTAAATGTTATTATAATACAGCAAAATAAAACTGGATTTTCATTTGAGACACAATTTACTGCTTTGAAGTAGAAAGGAATAAACCTATTTTATCACCACTGTACAAAGGCTAAAAATTTAAGAATGTAATCCAGTTTTTAAATTTTTCTAAAATGTAATGGAAATTGCAGAGCTGTATTCTTATATCCATTTTCACACAAATCATGGATCACATTAAATCTGTTTCCAAAGTAACCACATACTTCTAAAACTCTGGAATCAAAAAGCTCTGAACTGGGAGTTTTTTCCAAGTGTAGCAGGCTAACTTGACATCCAAACTTGGTCTAAACGGATATGGGGCTATATATTATTCCTATTCCTTTTACTTGGTATATAAACTTATGTATTTTCTGCAGAAATAGTAGTATACTGTCTCACAGGCTGCTAGGAACATTTTTTAATATATAGCATATACCTTTCTAAATTTGTCAAAATTTCTAGCTTTGGAACATATTTGGATCCAACAAGTATCAGATAACAGATTGGACTTGCACTAGTTTTAGAAAATCAGTATGCTCACAAACTTACCAAATTCTCTTCTTTCCAGTGTTATGATTTCAGGATCATCATCATAAATGCCTAGTTTTAAAAATGCATAAAAATTATTAAGAATTCCATAAAATAATTCACCATATAAAAATAATTATTCACTATTAATAAAAAAAATCACAATACTACTTCTCAAACTTAAATAATATGTGACAAACTAAAAGAAAAACCAACAGTAAGCAATACTCTTGGTGATACATTTAAACAGTCATCTAAAGATACCCGGTTCCTGACATGACCTGCTACTATACCGTTAAGTTTGTGGGTGAGTGGGTTCCTAATATTCACACACTTTGTTTTTTGGTACCCAGTGATCAAACTCAGGACCTTGAGCTTGTGAGGCAGGTGGCGGCACCACTGAGCTAAATCCCCGGCCCCACATACTTTTATCTCTGTAAAAACTTTCTACATTTTTAACTTTTTATTTAAAAATAAATATAGACTCACCAGAAGTTGCAAAGATAGTACAGACTCTTGTGTACCCTTCAGCCAGTGTCCCCTAATGGTGACATGTTACTTATTTTTAATACCAAAACCAAGAAATGGAGAGTGTACATTACTGTTCATTGGGTCATTTTCAGGTTACATGATTTTTAGTAAGTCTATCACTTTAAAATGTTTCCCACTGCTAAAATATCTTACAAGGGTAAATAATTAGTATCAATTATAAATTTTATTTACCATAAATAAAATCAATGTGAGAGAATTTCTCATTACTACATAAAATAGCCAAGTAATATTAATAATGGGTGTAGACCAGGGGTTAGCAAACTTTTTTTTTGGTACTGGGGATCAAACTCGGGACCTTGTGGTTATGTGGCAGGCAGAGGAACCACTGAGCTAAACCCCCAGCCCTGCAAACTTTCTCTGAAGCCATTAGAAACTATTTTGAGCTTTGCAGGATGTATGGTTTTTGTCATGAATACTCAACACTCAAACTGTAAAAGAAGCCTCAGACAATATGTAAACAAATGAGCACAACTGTATTGGAATAAAAACTTTTAGTCCTGAGACGCAATCTCGCCAGAAAGAAACGTGAAGTATTTTATTTAGTCTAATACAAAAGCCTTCTTAGCCTTTGAGGCCAATGAATGAGTATGACAAATGCTAGTTATCTGAACACACCTTTCTGCCTTGATAATTCCATTTATTTTTGTCATCCCTCAGCTCCTTTAACGTGTTTCCTCCCTCTCTCTTGCCTTACTTCTTTCTTATTCCCGTCAACACCTTAAACCACACCAGTAAGGGTTTTATATGAGGACAGCATTTCTACTGAGGTAGCCACCATTCAACTTAAAGTTTAGCCTTTGCTAGAAAATCCAAAGTTCTGAAAAACATTTGAAAGGCTTCAATATTTAACCTTTTCTTTTGCAAACATATATATTTTTATTAAATAGTAATTATTTAAAAAATATTAAAATTTAAGCAACACTTCCATTTCTGTACAATTAATCTCTGTATACTGACATCCTTTTGAATTCCATTCCTATGACAAATTAAAAAAAGCCAATCGAGGTGACAAACTTTTTTTTTGGTGATACCTGGGATCAAACTCAGGACCTTGCGCTTGTGAGGCAGGTGCAGCGGCACTGAGCTAAATCCCTGGCCCCTACATTAACTTTTCTTTTGCTCTGATTTAGAAAAAAAAAAAAACTTCACAAGTAATATATCACCTTACCAAAATCATAACGATAATAGTTCCAGCTTTCATACTGGCCTCCTTGGTTATCTTCAAGTCCCTTCTCTCCGTATTTATCATACTTTTTCCGTAGATCTTCATCTTTGAGTACTTCATATGCTCTGTTTATTTTTAAGAAATCACCATGTGCATTTGGGTTGTTCTGTGAAAAAAATTAGATATAACACTTATTTCAGATGCACAATCCAAATCTCTTCACAAACTTTATACAGTATACAGATTTCATTATTCCAGAGATTTGTTGGATATTAGATATCAACATAAGGAGGGGTAGTACAACGTGATATGAATTATCTTGGAATGAAATAAAAAAATATTTTGAGGAACTATCTAAAAAAAACCCCAAAAAAGTAATAGAAATTAAGAATCTCTTCAAAAGGTTGACAAATATGGTCATGTGACATAAGTCATTCCTTCTTAAAACTGCAGTGGAGACTGAAATTTTTAATTTTTAAAAATGTTTGTAACTTCTGAAATGGACAGATTTGTGGGTGAATTATAGGCAAATGAATTAACTAAAAAACGTATGCTCCTATGCATCAGATAATTAAATAGGAATTACCATCAGGGTAATATTTCAAAACTGATTTAGAAATGTTTCTTTATTGTTTCATAGATTAGTGTTTCAAGGATGCTTTCATTTAAATCTTAGATATAGGCCTATCATTTTTTATATGGGAAATGAAATTTTAAAAGAAAAAATTAAAAATCCTAAATAGAATACAGATCTGAGGGAAAGATAAACAAATAACAAGTGTTTTTTGCGGGGGAGGGGATGTCTTATTTTTATAATTTTTTTTTTCCTGGTACCGGGGATCAAACTCGGGTCCTTGCGCTTGAGCAGCAGGCAGTGAAACCACTGAGCTAAATCCCTGGCCCATAAGGGATGTCTTATTTCTGTGGTACTGAACCCAGGGTCCAGGGCCTCTGCACTGAGACCTTTAAAATCTTTTGCGTCAGGGTCCTAAGTCACTAAGCTGCCCAGGCTGGGCTCCAACTTGAGACCCTCCTGCCTCAGCCTCCCAGTGCTGGGGTTACAGGTGTGGGTCACCATACCCGGCTCTGAGTTTTAAGGAAATGTTATTTATTTATTTTTTGGTACTGGGGATTGAATTCGGGTTCTTGTGCTTGCACAGCAGGTGGCAAAACCACTGAGCTAAATCCCTGGCCCATAAGGGATGTCTTATTTCTGTGGTACTGAACCCAGGGTCCAGGGCCTCTGCACTGAGACCTTTAAAATCTTTTGCGTCAGGGTCCTAAGTCACTAAGCTGCCCAGGCTGGGCTCCAACTTGAGACCCTCCTGCCTCAGCCTCCCAGTGCTGGGGTTACAGGTGTGGGTCACCATACCCGGCTCTGAGTTTTAAGGAAATGTTATTTATTTATTTTTTGGTACTGGGGATTGAATTCGGGTTCTTGTGCTTGCACAGCAGGCGGCAAAACCACTGAGCTAAATCCCCGGCCCTAGGAAATGTTAATCATTCAGTTTTCTATAACTGAAATAAAATAATCCGATTTAAAAAATTCTTCCTAGAAAAAACTAACTTAACCATGTCCTTTTCATTAAGAGTAAAATCTCATTAAGAGTTAATTAGATATTCGATCCCCGGTACCAAAAAAACAAAACAAAACAACAAGAGTTAATTAGATAAAATATCATCAAATTTTTAAAAATTATAGTTTTTAAAGATTACATTATCAGCCACACAAATATTTTAAACTGAAGGTATATTGGGCTGCTCTCGAGTTTTAATTCATAGAACTTTCTGGCACTGGGGATACAGCTTAGTGGCAGAGCACTTGCCCAGTATGTGTAGGATCACAGGTTGAATACCTAGTATCAAAAACAAAAAAAGTGAAAAAACAAAGCAAAACAAAAAAAAAACCACCACAAAATGAACAGTAACAACAAACCCAAACCAAAAAAAAAAAAAAGACCCCAAAAAACTTTCTAACTGGTCTGTGGTCATGTGCTTTGTAAAAAATAGTGACAGGCCCAGGGATTTAGCTCAGTGGTTCCGCTGCCTGCCTTGAAAGCGCAAGGTCCGGAGTTCAATCCTCAGTACCAAAAACAACAAAAAAAAGGCAGTTAAAGCATATTATTAGCTATTACTATTATTTTTAGCAAGATATACCCTGTGAATTTTAAGGAGATACTTTTTGTTACTATTCTAAAGTACTTGATCTCAACGTACTTTACTATGAAAACTACTTCAGAGATGTTGCAGTTTTGGGATTAACATTTTAAAAATATCTGTGCGAAATAAGTTTACAAATTAAGAGGCCACTGAATATTCGGTATTGACATTCCTCACACTACTCCAAATAGAACATTTTCCTTCTTGTTTTTAGAATACCAGTTGAAATAGGATTTTAAACATGTACTGCTTGTAAGCATTCTGAACCCTTATTTAAAATAACTTAAAATATCCAAATGTACTAAAATGTAATAATCAGATATTTTCAAAACCATTTTACCTACCGGGTTTTTATCAGGATGTAACTTCAATGCTAATCTCTTAAAAGCTTGTCTTATTTCTCTACTGCTTGCAGTTTTGGATACTCCAAGTAAACTGTAAAAATCCTGATCTGTGCCCACTAAAAGGGCCATATACACTATCAGAAGACAGAGACTGAGCCTTCTTAGGTTTCTGATATAGTCATTTTTATGTAACCAGACTCCCATTCTCCTTCTTATACAAGTTCTGACTTCAGTGAACATAAGACACAATGCTGAGTCCAGAGGGTAAGATACACAAATCTTAGAACTTCAGTCCACATTCCTTCCAGGGTGAATCAAGCATCACAAAATCGTCTCCAAACAGGTTACTCTAAAAAGAAGAAACCAGGTAGCTAAATATATATTTCAAATTAAAAAGCAGTAACATTATCTATCAAACAACATGGTCACCAATACAACTCCTTTAAATGGACTGAATGCCGCAGAATCTATTCATTGGGTCCCTTCATTACTTTGATATTCAAATAACCAGATTTATGATGTCAATCAAGATACAGATAAAAGGTGGGGGTAGCAGCTAGCTACAGTACTTAAATATAGGACAAGAGCAATTTATACAAATCCTCTGATTAGCATCAGAACACCATGGTGTGAAATAAACTATTTCCTTCCTCTTTCTACCCGCGCTTGTGTTTTCCTTTTGAGACACCTCTTCCTTTTAAGCACCCACTAAAGCTCTTCAGTTTTGTTTTTAATCAGATCTCGTAGTAAATGTCCTTTGAGGGGACTAGAAGGACACACAATGTTTTCCCAAAGGGTCTGTATTTTTCACCTAACTCTAAAAAGTGTCAATGAATTACACTGTGGTAATAGATAACTTCCTTAGAAAAAAGACCATCCTTTCCTGTTTTCTAGGGTGCTTACACTGAATGAGTTTATAAAAACAGTAGAATAATTGCAAGAATTAACATTAACTTTACTGCAAAGTTCACGTTTAGTATAAACAAAAATAGGAAAAGAAACAGAAAAAGAGCAAAGAATTAGTTATACAGACAACTCTGCAGGGTAAAAAGTCATTATTTCACCATATTAAACTAGCACAGTCCCTAAGATCTCATAATACTTTGAAAAGTCTTCCTTTCCTAGCATGCTCGGTTTCACCTTTCATTAGATCCCATGTCTATTTTTAACCACTTCTCCTTACCATGGAATGCTCTCCTATGCATCCTACCAAAACCACCTTTCTGAAAGGCTGATGGAAAATGAGTTACAGCCCGCCTGCAACACCATCGGAGAGCGAGCCTGTAGCTCAGCCCTCACTCGGGACGGGACGCCGGGTCCAAGCCGGGCGGTTCTCAACCAGCGCGGGTGTGGCCGGCCGGAGCCCAGGCCAGGTGGGGCTGCAGGTGCCTGGGGCTCTTCGCCACCTCCTCTCGGAGGAGAGGGGAGGGGAGGGGAGAGGAGGGGAGGGGAGGACAGAGGACCGGGACGCGACTGTGCAGCGTGAGTCCGGAGTCTGAGGTCGGACGGAGAGAGAAAGGGGTTTCGAGCAACGCGGCGAAGAGCTAACCCCGGGCGGCGGCGGCAGCGGCAGGCTGGCCAGAGGGAGGAGGACGAGGAGGCGAACGCGCTGCACAGCCGCGGAGGCGAGGCGAGGCGAGGACCCGGCTCAGGCTCCCCGGCGCCAGGCCGCCGCCGGCACCCCCGGCCCGTGCCCACCTCGGGGTCGCCTCCGGCAGCTACTCCCCCAGCTGGTCGCCGTGCCCGGCCAGCGACCTCACGCTGCGCGCGGGAGCACCCAGTTTCCAACGCCGCCGCAGGCGAGGCGAGGCGAGCTCGGGCGAGGGAGGACGCCGCGCCGCCGGCCGGGAAGCGCGAAGCGAGCGCCGCCCGCGCCCCGTGCGTTTCCAGGAGAGCGGGGGCGGGGCCCGCCGCGGGGCATTGTGGGAAAGGCGAGGCCAGCGCTGCGGCGGCGGCGGGCGGCGCGGGGTCAGGTTGACGTGGCCGTCAGTGCGGGATCCGGCTTCAAGTCCGGGTCGAGCCCGGAACCGAGGGACTCGACCGGACGCGCAGACCACACGCCTTAGTAAACGTGGCTGGCGCTGGCCGCCGCGGAAGAAAGCACCGTGCGGCCCGCCCCTTCCTGGTTCCGTTGCCAGGGTGACGGGGAGCAGAGGGCGGCTCCTGCGGGGTTAGTACTGAGACAGGATGTGGAGGGCTGCTGTGGTCCATGGGTGTTCGCCATCAAAAGGAGAAATTTGACAGAGAAAGGGAGCTTACACTGATTGCAGTGTCAGCCTAGAGGACTGCATAGGCAGTGGGATGTTTGCAACAAATAAAAATACTCCCAGTTTTGGGTGAGCGTGCTAACAAACATTTGAGCATTCCACAGTGTTATTTCTTGACTCTCTAGTCATCCAAACTAGAAAATTGGGAGATTATCCATACATCTCCTGAGTGATACAGAAACAAAGGACAAACTGCAGTTTTGACCCACAGCAATGGAGTAACTACATTTACAACCATCGAAGGCAAAAATGTTACGATGAAGCTGGTACCAGCTTATATCAACCTTGACATGAAATAAGTTGTAGTTTATAAGTTGCATCAGGTTATTAGATTTTATAACTATATAGGATCCATGGCTAAACTATTATGGGAAAGTAGAGGAAATAGAATGAAAATGAAGGTGTTAATACTAGAAGCAGACTGATGTGACATTTGTGAACAAGTCTAAGCACACAGGTATTACCTCAATTCTCCAAATCTTATAAGATGGTGGATGTTATTATATCCATTTCACGGTTGAAAAAAATTGAGACAATGTGTGTTAGAACTGAAATTCATACCTAAGCAATCTGCCTGCGGAGACTTAAGATGTTAATCATTATGCCATTCTCTAAACCAACAAAATTCTTATCAATTCAAAAGCCAAGCAGCCAACTGGAGACTTAATTAGGGGCCAGACTGCAGTTTTTTATGCCACAATAAAGACACAGACTATCTTCTGGGTGATGAGGAAGCTTTCTAAAGCTATGGGTCTGAGACTATATAGGGCAACTACTGGAGAGAGAATGGGACTCGACTGGAAAAGGGAGAGCAGTTGGAGAATATTAGAGAGAGAGGGGAGAGAGAGAGAGGCAAAACGTGGCAAGCAGTTTATCAAAACTGTTTCCTGTTCTCTGAGAGATCTTATTTAGCTCCTGTGGTGAGCTCTGTCCTGAAGAAATAATATAATAGAGGACACAGTCAAATATTCAAACATCTGTAACTATGAAGGGAAAATACTTGATGCTGTGAGAATGAATAATGTGAAATGATAGACTCATGGGGGCAAAAGTTTAGAAAAGATCTTACCCCCCAAAAAGATGGTGTTCATTGGCAAGATCTATGTATTAGTGATGTTCCATACGATCAGAGTATTGTTGCTTCTGGATAGACAAAAATAGGGGATGTACATACATGTATAGACACAAATGGTCACATTTACATATATAAAGCTATTGATACAGGAGAAATATAACTCCCAACCTGCTAGATGTCAGATGTGCCAAGTTTGTGTCCCCTGAAATCAAAGAATGAATTGCAGACAAAGGAGGTTAAGAGTAGAAAAGGTTTATTGGGGAATAGGAATAGCTCCTGAGGAACAGGAGGGGTCCTGAAAGTGGATTGCCGTGGAGGTCATTTCTCCAAGAATGTTTTATAGGGCAAAATTATGAGTTAAAATGTGGGTCTAACTATAATCAACTAATAAGATCACAAGTGTAGCCCCTCAGCTAATATTGCTCCAACAGGGAAGTGGGGTATATGGCTGACATCATTAACCTTGGCTTATCTGTAACTTCTAACATAGGAACATCTGGGCAAGGATGGACCCAGGTGTTCCAGTCACCCACCCAGGTGAGCTTAATTCCCTGTTGTACCAATTACAGTATAATCTCAAATTTTCATTCATCCTTTAGGGAAGTATGCAAGTCTTGCCATTGTGACTTTACTCTCATGGCCTTGTCTTCAGATGTGCCTGAAGCCACAATTCTGATGTCTCCACCTTTCACTGGCTTCCTCGAGAGCCCAGTTCCTTTTTGACTATATGGTGATTTTTATCTAACTTAACTGCTTATCATACTGAGTTTATACCAGTACTCCAACTTCAGTGTAATGCCACAGGACTCAGAGTTTATTAATTCTACATTTTTTCCTTTCATACACGTAGCATCCTTCTCTGACAATGAAAACCCAGGTTCTCGTTATCCTTGACATCCTCATTTGTTCAGACCCTCAGTCTGTTACTGCTCTCCTCTTGCTCACGCAGTCTCTTCCCTATGCACTTACCCTCCATATCATGCATGGATCCCACACCTTATGCTAAACTGCTCACTTGAGCAGGTGTTCTGCTCACTCCACACAGGTTCCTACCTGTGCCAGGCTGTCCTCTCACAGTGATACTTGCCCCAAGAGGGCTCCAGCACAGTAAGCTCGCTGCTTACTGGACACTCCATTCACCTTGGTTGGTCTCTGATACTGCAGGAGCCCCACATACTGGCTTTTGGCTTGGATTATTTAAATGGGCCATGATTATCTTAAAGTTTTTAGTATAGCTAAAATTTGAAGATTACATTGGAGAAGAGCAACAGTAGACATAAGAAAACTGGCTAAGACCGTTGACTGTGTAAGATAGATTTAGTCAGATGTTCAGAAATAAACAGATTCAAGAAAAAGCAGAACTAGTGTTTGTTGCAGCATTATTCATAATAACCAAGATATAGAGACAACCTAAGTATCCACTTATGATGAACAGATGAGGAAAATGTGGTATAAATGTAGTGAAATATTATTCAGCCATAGAAAAGGAGGACATCCTGCCATTTGTGATAACATAGATGAATGCAGAGGACATTATGTTAAGTGAAATAAGCCAGACAACAGAAGCCAAATACTGTATGATCTTAATCATCTGTGGAACCTTACAATGTTGACTAGATGTAGAGTTTAGAACAGTGGTTTCCTGGAGCTGGGACCTAAAGGATATGGGAGATGTTGGTCAAAGGGAACAAACTTTCAGTTGTAAAATGAATATACAGTGTTCTCAAGTTCTCATGTTCAGCATGGTAACCACAGTTAATATTGTATTATTTACATAAGATTTCATGAGAGCAGATTTTAAGTGTTCTCAGTTCCCTACACAGACACATTGACACATGGATGGATGGATGCACACACACACACACACACACACTCACGCATAACTATGAGAGTTTTATAAGTGTTGGAGATATTAATTCAACTATGGTATTTAGTGCATAATGTATATAAATATCAAATCATGTTGTAAACTTTTGAATATATACAGTTACTTAAATTTTTTTTTTTGGTACTGGGGCTCGAACTCAGGTCCTTGCGTTTGTGAGGCAGGCAGCAGAACCACTGAGCTAAATCCCCAGCCCTATTTAAATATTTTTAAATAGAAGAAAAAATAGTTTATAATATATAGGATTTCCTAATGCATTGGTCATGGTGGGAAAAAGAAAGATATTTGAAAATACATCTCCCTTTCAGATAACCCGAATCAGGGCACCAAGACCTTGCCAGCCCTGGCGTAATAAATCAAAACTTGATGACACAGCTCCATCGTAGATACATGAGACATAACAAGGGGCCTATTTTTTAGTTCCTTCTGAGGAACTACTTATCTTTCAAGAACCAGTACATGTTTCTGCCGAAAACGCATTTTCTGTGAGCTATCCAAGCACATTTGACTAGTCTCTTATTATTGAATTTAGCACAATATATCAGAATTATATTTCATCAGTTGTTCTACCAAACTGAATTTTTTGAGATCAGAAAGCTGGTTTTATTTTTTCCCCTCAGTGCCCAGCTAGAATAGTACCTGGCATTATTATAATAGTATACATGCATTATGAAGGAGCAAAGAATCAACATTATGTGTAAAGAGGAAAGAGGAGCCTTTTGTTCCTAAAGTTATTGTCTGGCATGGTGGTGGGCGAAAACACATTCACATGTAGAATTAAAATAAATGTCAAATGGCTGATATGAACAGTATGGTCCACAAGGCCTTATCTTAGGGTGAGGAGCTCAGAGGAAAATTAAAGGCAAGTGTTCATGTTTCTAAGTATAAAAACAATGCTTTAAAACATTTTAGAACAAAGTCCAAACTCTGAGGCCATGAATTCGATTTCTTCAATTCGTAGAGAGGAAACTCAGGCCTAGGAAGATTTATGAGTAACCTGCCCAAAGACACTCAAATGTAAATGGATAAGATGAGAATACAATGCGTTTCCTATTTTCTTGACCAGTGTGAAATGATAACTAAAACGTATATGTGCATTATGTGTCTCAGGTTCCATTGTAAGCACTTTACTCATGTTAATTATTTAATTGTCATAACAACCCTATGAGGGAAGTGCTGTTATTCTCAGTTTTACTGATGGCAAATTGAAGAGAGAGACTCAGGCACTTGTCCCATATTTCACCATTAGGAGTGGTAGAATTTGGATTTCAACATGGGCAAT